CATTAGGTTGTGCCCCAAGAGGTCCAGAAATAGGTAAGTTACAAGTTACCTAGACATTTCAAAGGGTATGTTATTATAGATACAAAAAGACAGATAGGCTCAGTTAAGGTAAAGGTTGACCTTGTCAGTGAAGATACCGGCCTAGGATGTAACTACCTACCATAACTGCTTTTAGTAAAAGTTAAGTTTCAGACCATCCTTTATGGTTACTCAGGTCTCTGAGTTTGCAAGACTGCTATGCAGGTCTTCCCTGAGTTTGTCAGGTTAGCATGTGGCCCCTTTAGTCCACAGATGAAACAGTACATTAGACATGTACCATATATAAGAAAGGTTAAAACAAGGGATCATTTGGGGATCTGGAATGAATCAATTCAATTTACATTGTGTCTAATGGGAAAAATGATTCCGTTGTTTTAATAAATCGCTACTTCAACAGCCTTCCAGAATGACTTAAGTTTGAAAACCGAGGTTCCACTGTATTAATACTTACACCTAACTTCTATTGAGCACCTGTGTTCCAGACACTGCACCAGCTGTCATACTGCACTATTTCATTCAATGCTCATAAAAACTGAGATAGACAAGTTGTGCGATCACATCCATTTCACAGAGGCAGAACCCAAGGCTCAGAGAGTTCAGTCACCCAGCTAGTAAGGGGGAGCCAGAGTTTGAACCCACTTCTACTGGCCCCAGCATCCATGCTGTGAACACCCTGTACAGAGCTTCTCAGGACTCCTTTAGACTCACCACCTCACTCAGGGTGATTGGCAGCTCTGCTGATCCTATATACTAAGAGCTAATATGCTAATTAGACCAAACAGCAGAATGACCGTCCGGACAACCTTCCGGATGAAGCAGGGGCTGTGAGGGGCTGCGAGGGCTGGAAGGCCTGCCTGGGCTGTTAGGGGCTGCGAGAGCCAGCTGGGGCTGGGAGGGCTGGAGGGCCAGCCTGGGCTGTGAGGGGCTGCGAGAGCCAGCTGGGGCTGTGAGGGGCTGTGAGGGACAGCCTGGGCTGGGAGGGGCTGTGAGGGCCAGCCTGGGCTGTGAGGGGCTGTGAGGGCCAGCCTGGGCTGGGAGGGGCTGGGAGGGCCAGCCTGGGCTGGGAGGGGCTGTGAGGGCCAGCCTGGGCTGGGAGGGGCTGTGAGGGCCAGCCTGGGCTGGGAGGGGCTGCGAGGGCCAGCCGGGGGCTGGGAGGGGCTGCGAGAGCCAGCTGGGGCTGTGAGGGGCTGTGAGGGCCAGCCTGGGCTGGGAGGGGCTGCGAGAGCCAGCTGGGGCTGGGAGGGCTGGAGGGCCAGCCTGGGCTGGGAGGGGCTGTGAGGGCCAGCCTGGGCTGGGAGGGGCTGCGAGGGCCAGCTGGGGCTGGGAGGGCTGGAGGGCCAGCCTGGGCTGGGAGGGGCTGCGAGGGCCAGCTGGGGCTGTGATGGCCCAGCCCTTTGCATGAATTTCATGCATTGGGACACTAGTGTTGTAGATAAGCTGCCAGGCAGCTTGGGAGAATAATCAGATGGGCACTCAGAGGATTCAGAAGAGGAACCTTTTAATGCAGAATTACAGTTGCCCTAGTGCGGTGACTCAGGAGAATCAGCCTCCAAAGCCTGAGCGATGAGTATGAGGAAGCCTTCCTTTTATCCCTTTTAGTTTCTTTGTCCCCCAGATATGGATCAGGCTTTGCAGCCCGCACCACCCCCCCCGCAACTCCCCCCCCCCCCCACCCCCTGTGAGTTGGGATGGGGGAAGTGAGATTACACCCAAAGGCTTGGCCTGGCTGGCACCAGTGCTGACAACCCCCTCCAGGAGCTGTACTAGTACGTGGTTCATGGTTTATGGCCTCTGTAAAATGGGAGCATTCTGGGAAACAGGTTCTGCAAGGCAGGACAAGCATCACAGATAAGAATGGAACCAATTATCTTCCAGCAAGAATACAGGTTACCGGCACAGATTCGGATAGCTAGCCCCCCAAATCTCTTATTTCCCCTTCACTAGCACTTCCTGGTACAGGACCCCAGGGGACTGCAGTCACAGGCTTTTCTCTAAACAAGAACTGGCCTCATCAGTCTTTGGTGGATTTAGTCACTGTGAGTCTGTAATTCACATGTGGGTATCAGGCCTGGGTGAGAGGGACTCTGGTGCATAGTAAGTTTATAAGATTGTAGCCCCCTGGGTGCCCTTTGGAGGGCTGTTGACCAGCCTTTCCTGCGCCCATATATCTGAGCCCATCTTCCTGCTCATGAGTTGGGCCCATGAGCCTGTTGCCAGAACTTCAGTGTCTTCTCTCCCCTGCAGCTGGAGGGTGGAGGTGTCTGCCCCAGAGGCCTCATCACCCTCTGGGAAACCTGAATGGGACCTTTTCCATCCTGATTGTATTCCAGGCAGCTACTGGGTCAGGGACAAGCAGCTGCCCCCTGCTCCCTCAGCCAGGCCCTCACCTACTTCCTGGACATCACCACGCCCCCAACCCAGCTGCTGCTCCAAAAGCTAGCCCAGCTGCTGGAGAGGCAGTGGCAGGTCCTGGAGTTGTGTGGGGGCCAGAGCTCAGAGCTGGCCTTTCACCTCCAAGTGGGGGTGATGGATGGTATGGATGGATGGATAAATGGGCACAGTGACAGATGGGTGGTTGAATTAATAAATTAATAAGAGAATATATTAACTCACCTGCAACTTTCTTGGTTCAAGTCTTTGTGACTGGATGTCATTGTTATATCATCATTATTGCTAATGATCGTGACTCCAGACAATTCCATAGCCAGCACCTGTGGCTGTGCCTCATTAACTTAGCTCACAATTTCTCATTTAATTCTCAAAACATGCCCACAAAGTAAGTGATGCTATTCTCATTTCACAGAGGTTATGTATGGGGACAAGATCCCACAACTCTAAAACAAGCACCCAGTCATAGCATCTAGTCAAGATTTGAACCCAGGTTTGTATGATTCCAAATGAGATTATAATAATAATTTGTCTCATGCCCCAAAGCTGCTGACAGTAAAGTTCTCAGCATACAAGTTGGATCAATACTACTCACTGGCCTGAGTTCTTCCAGGACAGGAAATATTGCCTCTCCAGCCTGGTGGTCTTAGCACCTTGGACAGCACCTGGTACTTCAAAGTGTTAAAGGAGGGAATGCATGAGTCAGCTTCCTCAACTGTGAGGTGGGCAAAGTGCTAGATAGGACACTTGCAGGGATGAAATGAGAATTCAAGTTGGGTGGCCAGCTTGTCAGGCCTTGAAGCCCACCCTCTGGTGGCCACCCTTGTAACTGCAGCCTGCTGGGTCTTGCAGGGCTCCAGAGAGGCCACATGACCTGGATGAGGCCCACTTCTACTGGGAGGAGATGTTGGATGGCCCGGAAGCGGGTGCACACAGCCTATTCTCGCCTGCCTGGCCAGCCCAAGGTAATGGGGCAACTGCCCGTTCAGTAGAAGGAGCATTAAAAGCCCTGGCTCCCCCCGCCCCAACACCCCCCTCACATCTCTGAGCCTTCACCTCCTCAGCTCTAAAATGTAGGCAGTTACACTGTCAGAGTGATGCTGTGATGCTATTCTGTTTATTCTTCCAGGAAAAGAGACAGGCCCTTCAGGACTAAGTCAGGGCCACATGGTGGGTTAATCCCTGGGGCACAGCCAGCTAACGGTCCTCTCCCAGATACACAACTGCATGAGAAGAGGTGGTTCAGGCCAGCTCTATGCACAACCACAGCCAGGCTGGAGGATGGCCACTACGCCCACCATGACCCCTTGCGCCTGGGGAGTTGGGACAGACTCTTGGCTCCTCCCTAATGAACTTGTCCTATGAGGGATCTTCCCAGAGCCAGTTTTCCATGCCCAGTGTTGGGGTCACTGAGAGCCCTGATTGGCTCCTGGACTTGTATGGCACTGGGGAGGCCCAGGACTCTGTGCCCTGCTCTGCATTACAGTGGAGAGCCCACAGGCAGTCTGCACTGAGAGAATCCCTTTTCTGGGGTGTAGGCAGGTGGGCCTCAGAGCCCTGGGCAGGGCAAGTAGCTTGATGGGTGCCTCTTTGAAGCATGGTGAATGCAGAGTTCATGAGGACCCCACTGGAGCACCAGCACCTCAAGGACAGGGCTTTGGCTAGAATTCACCTCTCTGGGCCCAGCCCAGGCCTGTGCAATGCTCTAGCAGGGAGGTGCTCAGCCTGCAGCCCATGGCACCCCCTCGCCACCTCCCGATGGCCAGCAGGCCTGACTGCACGCTTGGCTGCCCTCCCCACCCAGCAGCAGGGGCCTGGGCTCACCATCTCCTCTGCTTTCAGGTCTACGTTCAAGACATCCTTCAGCAGCAGCTGGCCGACCAGGTGCTCCACGTGCTCCACCAGGAGCAAGGCCACCTCTATGTCTGCGGGGACATGCACATGGCCCGCGATGTGGCCCACACCCTGAAGCAGCTGGTGGCTGCCAGGCTGAGCCTGAGTGAGGAGCAGGTCGAGGACTATTGCTTCCAGCTGAAGGTATGGCAGCCGGGGTGCAGGCCAGGGATGCAGGTCAGGGGCCTGGGCCAGGGAGTCAGGGTAGCCAGGACCAGGGGAGACAGGTCCAGGGGAGCCAGGACCAGGGGAGCCAGGACTAGGGGAGTCATGAACGTCTAAGGAATCCTAGAGGTGGTGGAGGTCAGAGCTGGAGGGGTTGTCAGAAGCCTGACTGTGCAGCCAGGTCTGGTTGCTCAGGTAAACAAAGGCTGACACGCTGCTTTAAGATAAGACTTGCAGAGCCTCAAACAGGCTCCTGTGCAGAGTGACGCTGCTTCTAAACGTGGAGAAAGTACGTAGCATTCAGCAAACATGTATATATCACGTTTCCGGGAGCTTCTTGTGGGACACGCACTAGGCCAGCTGCTTTCTCCTAAGCCGTGTGGGATTTGGGGGACCCACTGAGAGCAGAAATGAATCAGGTCCCCCACCCTCGTCAAAGGAAGTCCAGAATCACCCTGATCCCAGACACCAGCATGTCTCCAAACACATTGAATAAACCACAATCACGCTGTGCATAGGTGCCAACCCCGAGTTTTCTTTTCTCTTTATTTGAAGGGCACTGGGAAAGGGGGGCGTCCAGCTGGATAAGGTGCTGGCAGGTGGTGGAGACCAGCAGGTGTCAGTCAGGGGAAGGGTTGGTACAGGGTGCAAGGAAAGGGTAAAGGTTGAAGAAAGAGGAGGGGCTGAGGAGACCGCCTCCCAGGGGAGTGACCAGCTGGTGGCTGGAGCCTGAGGTGGACTAGAATGGAGGGTGGGGATGGGGTCAAAAGGTAGATGAGTGGTGGGCCCGGGTGGGAGCTGGGAAGGCCCAGGATGCTCCCTTTCTGCTGAGGGGACTGAACATGGGCTTCAGCCTGCACTGACCCTTCCCCCCTCTCCTCAGATGGTAGGATTTGGGCAGATGGAGCCCCACGTGCTGCCCAGACAGAGGAAGCTATGCCCAGCGAGCAGCCTTCTCCACTCCAGGATGGCTGCAGCCAGAAGCAGGGCAGACAAGGGCCTGGTTTCTCCAGAAAAGCCCCAGATCCGGGAAGGGCCGGGAGGGCGGGGGCTGCGGCAGGGACAGGGAAGGTGGAGGTGAAGAGCAGATGCAGACAGCAGTGTGCTCCAGCCCGAGGTCCCAGGGCGGGAATCCCGCCTATGGCTGCACCAGGGTCAGCTGGACATCGCCTCCCACCTCCAGGTTGTTGATGGCGGGCAGGTTCTTCAGGCGGTGGTAGTAGTCAAACAGGTGCTGACCGTCCACAGACACCTTGAGGCAGTGACCTTCACACATGATCCACACCTGGACAGACGGACCGTGTCATTTGCGCTGCACTTGGGAAGTCCTCAGACCTGAATGCAGGCTGGTGTCCAGGACCTCCTTCTTGCCTCCCTCAAGCATCCATTAAGCCCGCGCCAGCCCCGCATTGCCGTCACCCTGAAGGATTCGCTCTTCGTCAGCACGTGCTTCTCCTGGTCCTTCTCCATATTCTGTTCCCCGGGCAGAGAGTGCCTTTCCCCCAGGCTCTGCAGTCCGCACACCTTGCCCACATGGATAGCTGCTAAGCTCCCTTCGGGATTCACCCCTTCTGGCAAGCCTTCCCTGCCTTTGGCGACCTCCCGACCCCTTCCTAGTCAAGTCAGATGCCCCCTCAGGTCATGTCTCCCTCTCCTGTCCTCACTCTCCAACTGGGCCCTAAGCCTCTAGGGCAGCGGTTCTCAACCTTCCTGATGCCGCGACCCTTTAATACAGTTCCTCATGTTGTGGTGACCCCCAACCATAAAATTATTTTCGTTCCTACTTCATAACTGTAATTTTGCTACTGTTATGAATCATAATGTAAATATCTGATATGCAGGATGTATTTTCACTGTTACAAATTGAACATAATTAAAGCGTAGTGATTAATCACAAAAACAATATGTAGTTATATATGTGTTTTCCGATGGTCTTAGGCGACCCTTGTGAAAGGGCCGTTTGACCCCCAAAGGGGTCACAACCCACAGGTTGAGAACCGCTGCTCTAGGGGCAGGAATTCAGGCTTGTGCCCCGGCACACCGGAGCGCTCTCCACCTACACTTCTGCAGCGGCCACCTCCTAACAGTCTCTCACAAGGCAGCCAGAGCGCCCTGTAAGATGTCCTCTTCCCCATCACCATGCCTAACACTCGCAGCACACTTCACACAATGTCATTTCACTCACTTCTCTATGAGATCAATATTGCTATTAGTCCCATTTCTGAGATAAGGAAACTGAGGCCCAGAGCCCTGGAGTCACTTGCTCAAAAGTCACACAGCTGCCTATAAGCCAAAGTAAATTGCTCTCTGGCTCCAAACACACCAACGCACTGTATTGAAACCCAAGCTCCTCCCCATGGCCCTCAAGGCCCTACATCGGTCATTTTCAACCCTAGGTAAGGAGCGTTGGGCCTGTTTTAAAATACGGATGCCCAGGCTCACCCTCTCGCTGGCCTGGGCAGGGCCAGGCATTGATTTTTCCTTTTTAAGCTCTCCAGGTGATGTGTAACCGGGGTTGAGAACGCCTGCTCTGTGATCCCGGCCTCCAGCCTCCCCACCCTCTTGGTTCCTGGACAGGCCACGCCCAGGACTCTCCCTTCTGCGATAACACTGCTCCCTCTGCAGCCTGCTGGGCACCTCAGATCTTTGTGGGGTGAACTCCTTCTATCACTGAGGTCTCCAGTGCACGGTGGCCTCTGAGAGCTGTCCCCGTCTACAGCAGCGGTGGCCCTGGCCAGGCCTCACTGTACCCCTTTATTCTCTGTTGCTTAGGCACAGCACCTGCTGTGATCTGCAATGACCCTCCCCCACCAAACATGCAAACTTCCAGGCAGGACCTGGTCTGTCTGCTTCACTGCTACCCTCCAACACCCGGGCTCCTTCCTGCCCCAAGTGGGCCTGGATGACAGAGCTGACAAATAATAGCTGAATGACTGAGTGAGTGAGTGAATAAATGAATGACCTCACTCTTGGGTTCCGTCCGGCACTTATTGGCTGTGTGACCCCAGGCAAAGAATCTACATGTCAGAGTTTTTCCCTCTGTCAACAGCAGATTCCACCCCCTATTTTATATGGGGCAGCAATAGTAAAACCATATAAAAACCATAACAACAACCATTTGTGGGGCCCAACCCTCACCCAAGAGGCCCTCTTGTTCAAGGGGCCCCCAGACACCCCCCATCGCCACCCCCTCCTTCATTTGCCCCTTCGGAGCCCCCTGGAGCTCCAGGCTGGGCACCTTACCAAGAAGCCCTGGCCTCGGGCGAAGGGCATACTCCGATTCAGGCTGCGCTCCTCAGGCCCCCAAGAGTTACTGATCTGCGTATTGCGGACCACGGCGTTCTCATCGAAACGGGGGTTCAGGTGGAAGGCGATGTCATTCCCGGAGCGCAGGTTGATGTGGAACCTGGGGGTGGGCAGCTCACATGGATCTCTGCCCATCGAGCGCTGGGCTCTGGCCCCTCCCAGCCTGCCCAGAGCTGGGGGTGGGGTGGGGGGAGACGGCCAGAATGACCTAGGGGTATCTCTCCTCCCCGAGAGCCCAGGCTTACCTCTGAGCGTAGGATGGGACGATGCCCGTAATGGTGATGCTCTTGGAGGGGTACAGCCCCCCGGGGATGCTGGTGAAGAATGGTATTGGCTGTCGGGAGGAGAGGGGCAGGTCAGCCAGCGGCAGCCAGAGAGGCAAACGTTGTCGGGGGAGCTCTCTGCCAATGTCCATGAATTTGGACTGGCACCCGAGTTTGACAACTGTGTCTGTGTGTCATATATTTTCAAGAAAGAATCGTGATAGCCCTAGCTGGTTTGGCTCAGTGGATAGAGCCTCGGCCTGCGGACTGAAGGGTCCTGGATCCGATACCAGTCAAGGGCACATGCCCGGGTTGCAGGCTCAATCCCCAATAGAGGGCGTGCAGGAGGCAGCCGATCAATGATTCTCTCTCACCATGGATGTTTCTAACTCTCTCTCTCTCTCCCTTCCTCTCTCTGAAATCAATAAAAATATATTTTTAAAAATAAATAAGTTTAACAACACCAACAACAACAAAAAGAATTGTGATAGCTTTACTTGGTTAGCAAATAAGGAAAACTTTCCAGTGTTCCTCAAATTTATGAGCTTAAACTGCCACGAAAAGCCCTAGCCGGTTTGGCTCAGTGGATAGAGCATCGGCCTGCGGACTGAAGGGTCCCAGGTTTGATTCCAGTCAAGGGCATGTACCTTGGTTGCAGGCTCCTCCCCAGCTTGGGCCCTGGTCAGGGCACATGCAGGAGGCAACCAATTGATGTTTCTCTCATATCGATGTTTCTCTCTGTCTTTCCCTCTCTCTTCCACTCTCTAAAAATCAGTGGAAAAATATCCTCGGGTGAGGGTTAAAAATAAGTAAATAAACTGCCACGAAAAGAACTTTGCTGGACACAAAAGGATACTTGGGCTGAGAAGAGAAGGCCATATAATATGCTTGCGATGAAGGAGCCCTTTTGAAGGTGAAAGCTCCTTTCAGCCATCTTCTAATTTCCCGGGATGTTTGAAGAACGTCAGATCAGCGAAGGGCTGCTTTTCACTTTGTGAGCTGCCCCTCACCTCCCCCGCGGCCCTGCACAAACGGAACCGCGCCCTCCCTGAGAAGTCACTTACGTAGCTGGGGCTGGGGTAAGCCGGCGGGGGAATTGCAGGATTCTGTTGAAAAGAGACCAGGAATTCTATGTGGGATTGTGCCCACTCCCAGGCCCCCACGCACTCTAGAGGGGATGCTCCAGTGTGAGGCTTCCGCCCCTGGATTCTCCCATTCGCCTGCCCTCTCCTGTCAGCCTTGGTGCAACTTCCTGCCATCGTCCCAGACCCCATCATGGCCACCTGCCCTCAGCCCCTCCACAGGCAGCTCCACGAACTCCAGGGCTCCCAGCTGACTTGTGCCAGCAGGAGGGAGCGAGGTTGTGCACTGACTGGAGCTGGCAGACTTACAGGGAACATCTGTCCAGGGGTGCTCTGCACTGTGTGGATGACTGTTTGCGTCTGGAAGAAAGAAACGGGGTTTTTAAAACCTGCTCTCACCAGCGTGAAGACCGCCATCTGCCACCAGAGGGCACCACTTAACACACACCCTCCCAGCAGCTGCCAGTGGGGAACCTCTCAGTAGCCCAGACCAGACTCTGAAAATTGCAGGGTAGAGGTGTTTCTCCTCTTAAGGGGTGAGGTAGGGGCAGAAGTTCCCTCTGGAGAGGAATGTGGCTTCATTTGTGGCCTGTTGGCCCGTCTTCCTTCACAGGGGAATTCCTCTAGTTTCATTTTGCAGGAGGAAGTAATTGTGGGCCTTACTGTCCACAGAATGGCAGGGGCTTGGGCAATTCAGCTTGTTTCCCAATCCATCAGCCCAGCCAACCACCCCTACTCCCCCAAACCCTCCCCTCCCACAAGGGTCAGGAGGGTGGCCCAGGGGTCTGGCCTCAGCTGTGCCAGTCGCCCTGTGGCAGAGGCCTGATGCCTGGCCCAGCCCCCTCCTTCTAACCCACAGGAAGGACCAAAGTGAAGGGTTTCCAAAGAGAGAGCAAGAGACTTACAATGGGAACTGCGATGGACTGCCAGTAACTTGGAGGCTGAAGGGGACGAAAAATAAAAATGCTGGTCAATATTGGTGCCACTTGACGGGGAGATGACAGCTGAAACGGTGGTAAGAAATGCCTCCCAGACTCACACTTCCTTCCTTTCTGCTCCCAAGCAAGCCTCCCTGAGCCCGTGGTGCCCAGATGCTCACCCACTATCCCAGGTAACTATGGTTAAGAACAGGGAAGGGGCAGGTGGAGGAGAGGAAACATCCTGCCGGCTCCTCTAGAGAGCGAGAAGGATGTGTCTGACATAGAACATACAGCTCACCTCAGCTCCCAGAGGCAAAACCATTACTTGCCGTGTCCTATTTCACCAGGAGGGTGAAAACTAATATTTAGTGAGGCCTACTGTGTGCCAAGCTCTGGCTTCAGTGCTTTATGAGGGAGGCATCTTTAGCTTCAGTTTTGCTCAGTGAGAGAACAAGCTCAGAGAGGTTAAGCACCTTGCCCAAGCCTGTCCAGGTAGCAAGCGATTAAATACAAAATGGTACCCCGTTGCGTCTGGTTGTATCAGCATACCCCGTCCACCCAAGGCCAGGGCCAAAGTCCGGCTGCCCTGCAAAGGCCCCCTGGAGCTCCTCCATCCTAAAGTCAGTGTGGCAGGTGGCAGGGGCCCACCATGCACCGTGATGGGCCACAGGAAGCTGGGTAGGGAGACGCCCTTGGCCTGGCCCCCACTGCTCAAGTGGCCAAGGAAGGGCCAGGCCCTGGTCCTTTTCCTGCCCGAGGCCCCTCCCCACCCAGCAGACTGGTCTTCTTGCCCTGACTGTTCTCCTCTTCTACTGACTGTGCAAACCACATCCCTCATTCATTGACCCAGTCCCTCCTGCACTCCAGGCACTGTGCAAAGTGCTGGCGATACACAAAGGGACAAGTCACAATCCCAAGCTCATAGGCTCCGGCAAGGTCGGGTGGAGTGACGGAGACAGACATGTAAATACAGTTACAACAGGACATGGTGCCTGGCGTGCACAGAGCTGTTAAAAGTCCATCAGGTGGGGGGGGGGGGGGGTGGCGGGCATCCAGCAACCTGCCAGGCAGGGAAGATGCCGCTGAGGAGCCACAATGAAGCAGAGCATTGAAGGGCAGTTAGGGGCTGGCTGGGGTGAGGTGGCAAAGGGTCCTTTCGGCACCAGGACAACAGATGCAAAAGCATGGTGTCCGGAAGGAGCCTGGAGTGAGCAGTGCAGGCTGATGGAGGGTCTTCGTGGGTGAGGAGGGAGGCCGGCAGGTGGGCTGGGCAAGACTGGGGAGGATTCTGCACATCCAGCTGGGGGACTGGAGCTCTATTGAGCCCGGGGCCTTTAGGGTTTTTAAGGAGGGAGAGGATGAGATCACATTTGCTTATGGGAAGGTCACTGTGGCAGTGGGTTCGTGTGAGGGGGTGAGGGATGAGGGGTAGGGTGGCCTGGACCAAGGCAGTGGCTTCAGGAAGGAGAGGCCTTGGTGCACTGGAGGGACATTAAGGAAGGGAGGGAAGTACCAAGGATACCTCCCAGGTCCAGGGCCTGGGTGCCTGGTGGATGGAGATAGGGAACCCTGGGGGGGTATGCGGGGGCCTGTAGGCCCTGCTGCCTCCTCGCTGAAATAGCTTCTCTCTCAGACCCCTGTCCTTCCTGCTCAGCCTCTCAGGGTCTCCACGGTTAACTCACTTTTGGTTTGCGCCCCCTGGGCTTGGGTGCAAAACGAGCAGGCTGGGAGAATTGCATCCCGGAGAAAGCAGGCTGGACAGGGACTGCACGGGTGTTCTGTTAAAACAAAAGGGGCCATGGGGTGAAGAGAAGTTTTAAGAAGCCAGCGGAGAGTGGAAAGGCAGGGGCCAGGACTAGAGGGGGGAAGCCAGGCAGGCAGGGACAGGGTAGGCAAGAGACTTGGGTAGGGAGGGAATATGAGAGATGAGGACCAAAAAGAGAGGAGCTCATATTTGCTGTGGGCCTGCTGTGTGCCTTTCCCATCTCAGGAGCACACTCAAATACTGAAAGTGGAAATTACATCTCTAATCCAGGCGCCTGGGGCCCTGTGGGAATGTGGGCCAGGCTTCCCCTAATCTTTCCAGTTTTCAAAGAAGCCAGACATTCAGGTTTCCATGTGACATCACCTGACCTGGAAAGTTTGTTTGATAAAATGCACATAAAATTTACCACCTTCACCATGTTGGCGTGTACAGCCGAGGGGCATTCAGTGCCTTCACACTGTGGTGCAGCCATCACCAGCATCAGCTCCACAATGCAAACCTGCTCCTGGCCTTGTAGATGTTGGCAACACATTCAAAAATGGGAAAACACAGAGAGGGTCTAGTAGGCCCTGGTGTGGGCCCATGGGGGCCATTACGTGACCTCTGACACGTATCGCCTCATTGAGCCCACACATACCTCCTGGGGAGGCTGTGACTGTGCCCCTTGCACAGATGAGGAAACTGAGGCTGGAGAGGCAGACTCACGTGTGTGAGATCCCACAGCGGATGACAGTGCAGAGCTGGGATCTGAGCTAGATTCAGTGTGACTCCCAAGCTGGTTCTTTGGGGAACCACATGCCTCCTAACCAGGGCGGGAGTAGAGAGGGACAGGCAAGAGGGGAGGGAGTCAGGCTGAGGCAGGTGCTCTGGACAGAGACAGTGACACGGGACGGAGGTAGCAGGAGGTATGTCCCCAGAGCCATCCGGGTGAGAAATTGGCTGGAACCTTTGGCTCCACCCAAAGGGCCTAGGCAGAGTAGACTGGCCCCTGCACCCAGCCCCTGGTACGGTGCCATTTGGACAATCTGACCTGGAAGCTGATGTGTGTCAGCCCCACGGCGCCGGTGACAGAGATGTTGTCCACGCGGTGGAAGGGCACGCGGTGTACGTAGTTCGTAAAGAAGTTTCCATTCACCGTCACCTGTTAACAGGAGAGTATAGTCCAGGAGAGGTGTCCCAGACCAGGGAGGGGAGCACACCTGAGCACTAGGACCCCTGCTTCTAGAAATCAAGGCCCTGTATGGTTTTCACCTCCATCCCCTGTAGGTGGGGCCCAGCCTTCAGAGCTGTTCCAGGTACAGGAACACACATGTGATCCAAAGTGCAGCCAAACCCAGCCACCACTTGGCTCTAGTTTGGCTTCTTAATTCTAGTTTTTAATTGCTCTAGGTTTGTCTCTCTCAGCTCACCTGGGATGCCATTTCAATATGAGCATTTAAATGCCCATAAAGTGCTCATGGGAGCAGAGGAGAGGGCACCTCAGGGGGCACACTGAGGCCTGGGAGCATCCCATTCACACAGAGAAGCACAGACACAGCCATCCCTGTCCCCGGGCCCAGCAGCACTGCTCTGCCTGCAGAGCAATGACCACACCATGCAGCCCTGAGCCGCCCCTGGGCCTGCAGAAGGGCTGCCACAGCATCACCGAAAACAAATGCTGTCAAGGACCTGGAGCGGACAGGCTGCAGCAGAGGATGGCAGTCACCTGGAACCCGAGGCCAAAGAGCAGGTGGGGACTTACCTAGCTCTTATTTCCTGGTAACAGAAGCAACAGGTGCTCTGAAGGTGCAGGTGAAGGTGTGTAAGGTCCTGTTTTCTGTATAATTGCATTGCTTGGGTAATTATTTCAAAGCTTTTCTCTCTCTCATCAGTTTGGCTCAGTGGGTAGAGTGTCTGCCTGTGGACTGAAGGGTCCCAGGTTCAATTCCGGTCAAGGGCACGTACGTTGGTTTCAGGCTCAACCTCCGGCCCTGCTCTGGGGGCGTGGGAGCCAACCAATTGATGTGTCTCTCTCACATGGATGTTTCTCTCTGTCTGTCTCTCCCCCTCCCTCCAGTCTCTCTAAAAAATCAATGGAAAAATATCCTCAAGTGAGGATTAACCAAAAAAAATGAAAATAAATAAAAGCTTTTCTCCAGGCCTGATAGGGCAGGTTTCAGACAGCGGGAGGGAGGGAGGAGAATCCTGCTCACCTGGAATCCAGAGCTCTGCACCAGAAAGCGGATCTCAAAAGGAATTCCCATCTGGAGGGGCATACTCATCTTCCTCTCCTCCGGCCCCCAGCGTCCTTTCTGCTTGGTGTTACAGACCACATACCCGCCCTCTTCAAACCGAGGGTTGAAGTGGAAGGCAATGTCATTGTCACTGAAGCCCGTCTGAAAGTTCACAGCAAACCTAGGTGGACGGAAATGAGACAGTGTTCTGTTTTATTGACAATGGTAGGAGCAGGAGGGCCCGGCGCCTCTGACTTCCATGTGTGTCTGGCAACTTGCATACAACCTGTGTGGCAGGTTTGCACCCAACCCACTGTGCTGCCTTCCTTTGTGTTTACCTAGTTGGCACTTAGTGTGTTTTGTGTAATTTGTGGGAGGCCCCCTGCCAAAATTTTAAGCAATGCCCTCAGTGTGCTGTCCACCTCCCTGTGCCAGTATTAGAGTTAAATCCCCGAGGAATTAAACCTAATCAAATCTGGCAAATGGATGTTACTCATGTGCCTGAATTTGGCAGATTTCGGTGGGTCCATGTCTCTATAGACACCTACTTCACTTCATTTTTGCTACCCCCCCCCCCCCCCCCCCCCCCCCCCCCCCCCCCCCCCCCCCCCCCCCCCGCCAACAGGGGAAAGTGCGTGCAAAGCATGTAATTAACCACTGCCTGGTGGCTTTTCCAGTCATGGGCGGCCCCTAGAGATAAAAACAGATAATGGACCTGCCTATACTAGCTCCTCCTTTCAGCAGTTTTGTAAGCAATACCAAATTATGCATAAAACAGGAATTCCCTATAATCCTCAGGGACAGACAATTGTAGAAAGAGTTCATCAAACCTTAATGACTCAGTTACAAAAACAAAAGGGGGAGAGGGGTATTATCCTACTTCACAGAATCAGTTAAATCATCCCCTTTACACTTTAGATTTTTTGAATTGTGACAATGAGGGTCGCACAGCAGCCAGGAGAGGCATCAAGCTCCTGGTCCCGTGGCATCTGCCGCTATGGCACGATGGAAGGATTTACAAGCAGGGCAGTGGAGAGGGCCAGATCCAGTAATGATGTGGAGAAGAGGCCATGTTTGTATTTTTCCAGAAGGCGCCTCTAACCCCATCTGGGTGCCAGAGCGAGCAGTGTGTCACGACCATGGACCTGGGAGAACAGCTCATCCCGCCATTCAAGAAGCTGAAAATCACACCCCCCGTGATGAGGCCAGTTCAGCCACCGACCCCGAAGAAGAAGGAGCTCAGGAAGCAGCTGGCCAAGGCCACCCTAGAAGCTAGTGTCCCCACATGGGGTCAACAGAAGAAGCTGACCGCAGATGCCCAGCAAGTGGTGAAAGAATAGGGGGTCCAGGTAACCCCTTCCACACTTTTTGTTGCAACGATGGCACTTGTCAGCTGCCAGGTAAGTATGACTGGCAACAGAAACTTACTGGACATATGTTCCAGACCCGCCTCCAACAAACATATAATTCCTTTTTCCCATGCCAGGAGAGTTTGTTGGTAACGCCCTGGCCACGAAAACAGAAAATTTACAGAAAGATCTGTGGCGTTTAGCCACCGCCCTTAATTTTCTTAATTTTACTGGCTCTTTCTTAACTAATACTAAAGGAGCATGGTCATCGAGCCCTTGCTATGGCTTAAGAGCCTGTGTCCAGCCCCCATGTGCATTAGTAATCGGAAATGTGAACATCACCAGATTGGACACCCATTATGCTGTCCAATGCCATTACTGGATGAAATTATATCTCCGGCAAAGCTGGCAAAAGAATTGCTGGATGATTTAAAAGAATTTAATCCGCCAAAACCGGTTTGGCTCAGTGGATAGAGCGTCGGCCTGCGGACTGAGGGGTCCCGGGTTCGATTCCGGTCAAGGGCATGTACCTGGGTTGCGGGCACATCCCCGGTGGGAGATGTGCAGGAGGCAGCTGATCGATGTTTCTCTCTCATTGATGTTTCTAACTCTCTATCTCTCTCCCTTCCTCTCTGTGAAAAATCAATAAAATATATTTTAAAAAAATAAATAAATAAATAAAATAAATAAATAAATAAAAGAATTTAATCCATGGAAAATGTCTGGAGACATCGCCTGGTACCTAATTGAATTCCTTTGTGTACTACTAATCTTATCCTGCTTTTTTTCAGTCATCAGCAAGCCCCTGCGATCTCAAGTCCGAAGGCTCCAACTAGATGTCCACAGACTGCTTTTGAAAAATGAAAACGGGGGAGATGTGGGAGGCTCCCTGCCAGGGAAGGCACCATGGCTCTCCTTCAAGTCATGTGGACTGAACCCAAGGCTTGGGCATAGCCCTACCTTGGGGGCATTTCTGGTCAAAAGGTGAGAATGCCTTCAGCTCAACTCTTTAAAGCCTGGGGTGGGAGGTGGGGGGGGGGGGGGAATGGGTTTTTATTATGTAAATCCAGTCAAGCACCAGGAATACCTCCCTGATCTTGAGTTTTGGTGAAACCTCCTGATATTTTGGGGAATTTGGACTATAAAATAAACACGCTGCTTTGGTGTTGGGTCTCTCTGCCTCTCCACCAGAAGAGGACAGAAGCCCGCCCAGACCCAGCTTTCCTTTCTATTTCTGCATCTGTCTTTCATTTCTCAATCCCAAAGTGCCTCTACTTGAAAGAACCAGTTCGCACTCTCTCTCTGTGCTGGACGCCTGCTGGACGCCCTGACACAGTAATTAATGCATTTTTCCCTTTCCAGCGTGACTTTCCAGAAATAAGCAGGAACTGGGTAAAGAACAATGGGGACTCGAGCCTCAGGAAGCATGGGTCTTGGAAACTGACTGCACATTTGCATGAAGATGCCAATCCAGGAACATGCCCAGAAGCAAGAGCCTCTCATGCCCGGTGGGCACTGGTTAGAGGCCAGCCCACGGCTGCTCAGTTGGGAAGGAAGAGAACAAATGGAGAGAACATGTGACATTGAGGGACTTTACCTACAAAGAGGTGTCTAGCAGGGGAGGCATGGAATGAATATAGGTTCTCCAGGCACGAGAACTTCCGGGATGTGTGTCTGTCCCTCATCGGAGGTTGGTGTGTGTCCCACACATGAGGTGTGGGGTGGTGCCCTAACGTCCATAGGCCTGGACCGTGACCCCAGCTGGTACCGTTTGTCATTTGGGGTGACCCTGAACCCCAAATACTACCCTGGAATCTCCACACTGAGGGCGGGGGAGACTCCCTTCCTTTGGGGACGATTCATGAGGTGGTGTTTAGGAAGTCCCCAAGCAAGTACATTTTCATTCCTGTCTCTCTCCTTGGAAGGAAGCCCTGACCTTCAAAACTTCCTTTGGGTATAGCTATGGCTCTAAGGCAGGGGTGAGGAACGTCTGGCCCGTGGGCCATATAAGGCCCGTGAAATCATTTGTCTGGCCCTGCCATGGCATTAGGGGTGAGTTACTTAAATGGTTGACCGAATAAAGGTGGCTAAATTTTGAGTTAATAATTTTGTGTGGCCCTCAGATGATGTTATAAATATCAAATGGCCCTCGGCAGAGAAAAGGTTCCCCACCCTGTTCTAAGGTGAGGGACAGTCCAAGGAGCCGGGCTCACAAAAGGGCCACAATAAACGTTCGTTCTGCCTTTTTCCAGACACATGGCCTGAAACCAGCCCCAATCCAAAGTTCTCCACCAAGCGGCACTGTCTACTCCAGCCTTCCCCGACCAGGGCATGAGCATGGTTCACAGCCTGCTTCTTGGGGTCACTCTGGTGTCCCCAGCTAATGCACAGCACTCAGGGAAGGCCCCTGCTTTCATGTTTTTTGTTTCCCCCACAGGGCCAGGCACTGTACCAAGCCCAGAGGTGACCCTAATAGACCTTCTGTTCAATTCCTGCAGAGCCCATTTGGTGTCCCTGTGGAGGAGGCTGAGCTCTGGGTGCCTCCTCAATACCAGCTCCCTCTGTGGGCCCTCAGCCAGCAGGGAAGTGCCCTGGCCCAGAGCCCAGCCAGCCCTCCCTCTGGGGACACGAAAAGGAAAGGAGGCTCCCACTGACTCTGGAACCAGAAAACCGGTCCAGATTCCTCTTTACATGGAAACTATCGTTTCTGAAATATCTCTGGATGTATCTTTCCCTTTGTGATCATCCAGCTCCATTTCTCTGGTCCCTTACAAACTCCTGCCCCAGGGATGAGAGTGTGCAAAAGCGCCCATGGGAACAAGTGGGCACAGTAGGTTAGGAGGTAGGCAGCGGGAGGAGAGAGAAGGGGGTGGAGGTTCAGAGGTGAGGGTCAGCTTCCCCAATGGCAGGGTTGAAGCATATGGGAGCCTCATTCTCCTTGGTGTCTCCTGGAGGCACTCAGGGCTCAGGGAGATGTCACAGGGTGAGTGTGCCTATGCCCACCTGGCAGGGAAGGCGATGGTGGAGAAAGTCCACTAGACTCTACAAGCCAAGTTGAAGTAGAGCCGGTCCTGGGATCGTGTGAAGGGATTCAGAAGGTCCCCAGGCCCTGTGCAAGGTGATGAAAGGACCACTGGGGACAAAAGACATCTGGGATTGAGACAGAGGCTTCCAAGGAAGGGCTGTGTGTGCAGAAGGGCTTCTGTGGGCACCATGGACCTCAGCAGGCAGCCACCAGGTGTGTGGGCCCCACCCAAATCAGGCAAGAGCTCCTCACCTCCACACCACCTGGACCTCAGCAAGGGCAGCCAGGGCTGCGCGAGCATTGGAGGGCGCTCGGCCTCTGAGAAGATATGGAAGTTTTCCCTGTGCCCCAAAGTCCCCTCTTGGGTGGGAGACAGTGCCCAGGAGATGTTTGTATTTTGAATTGCCTTAGTACTTTCTAGGAATGAACTTGAAACAGAAGGAGATCAAATCACATCTGATGCCAAGTTTAAATATTTCCACATCCGCCAAATAGGGACCACGGAGTAAAGGAAGGCCGTTCTGGGCAGTAAAGGAGGCATTATTTTTGCATCTCTGGGTCTTCGCGTGCAAAGTTCAATCCTAGACCATAATGATCTGCCCCTGGGCTGGCCCGAGACTGTGAGCTCATGCTCTCCCTGTGTCTATGGGGAATCTACGTTAATGGTGTGCAGATGCTATTGGCAGAGGGCAGGGGTCCTATGCAGTGTTGGCAGGACCGAGCCCTACTCATTCAGTGTCCCCTGAGCCAGGCACAGGCAGCTTGGACAGTGTTGGGGGAACCAGCCTGAACCGACAGGCGCCATGGTTTCCTAAGGGGTAAGGCTGGGGGGAATTAACTGTTCCAGGTACCTGGTTCCACAGGCGTGAAGAGCAGTCCCATTGACAGTGATCTGAAGTCCGTCCTGGAGGCCCCCCTGGATGGTCCCAGAGAAGGGGACGACCTGCAGGGAGAAGAAGGCAGTCAGTTAGGGGCCCTGCTCCTTCAGTCCAATCCCTCCAGCACTTGCTAGTGGCTGGCCTGGTGTGTCGGGCAATGTCCCAGGGGCTGGATGCAGCTGTGAACTGGGCATATGGAGTCCTAGTCTCATGGATCTTCCAGGCCTATGAAGAAGTAAACCCGAATCTGGGGAGTTACACAGACATTCTGAGATTGATAAAGAGACCGCCGGGCTCTGAAATGATGTGACTCAGAGCTGGCCTCTCTTAGGAGGAAGTAGCATGAACATGACCCCGAGAGGGGAAGGAACCAGGGTAGTGAGAGGGACTCATAGCAAAGGACCCAGGACCCTGGTAGAAAACTCAGAAACCCAAGGGACCAAAGAGGCCAGCAGCCTATTCTAAAGGATAAATCTTCTGCCCCCTGAGAAGGCCAAGAAGAAGGCATCCTGCCCACCCCACCACAGAACAGTGTGACCATGACCTTTGCCCTCCCAGCCACCGCAGGTAGCACCTGGATGCTCTGTATCCTCTCCTGCTCCTGCTCCCCAGACCCTCCCCAGGCCCTGGCAACCTCCGAGGCCCTAGTGAGGTGTCTGCACTCCTCCTCGGCCCCATAGAGCCCATTTTGTCCAATGCCCTTCCCGGGCCACTTGAAAGGACAATGGTTATGGTGAGGCTTGCATCGTTTTAGAGCCAGGCATTATCTAGGTTTGGAGCCTAATTCTGCTGCTCATTTCCTGGGTGACCTCAGGGAGCTCATGTCACCTCTTTTGCCTCAGTTTCCTCATCTGTAACATAGGGATACATCGCACCTTCTGCGTAAGATCAATGAGTTAGTCAGAAAAGGGCTGGGGAAGAGACTGGCACATAGTAGGTGTCTCTACCGCACCCTTCCCTCTTGGTCTCTCTGAGCAAAATTTCACATTGGTTTCTTCATGACTTTTAAGCTAACCTCCAGGATGCCTGTCATCTGATGTGCTCTTAACCTGCATTAACCTAGGAGATAGCTTCCAGCTCCTAGTCAATCTTCACATTTATCTAGTAGTGAATGTCTTCTCTAACTTCTCCTTTAAGCCAACTCCCTACAGAACTGAAATGCCTATAGGAGCCAGGCAGGTGATGTGTAGGAGGGAGATTGTCAGGTAGGGGCAATAGGGAGTGGCAGAGACTATGACAAAGTAGACACCATCTCTCTCAACTAAAGGGACAGTGTCCTCTCAGCTCTAACCTGGACAAATTAATTAATTTAGATGGATTAACCCCTCTGTGGGTCAGAGCTTGCTCTCAGCTGCTGGCCAGGCCTGGAGGCTGAGGACTCTTTCCCCGTCTTCCTCTCTGGAGGCTCAGACAGCAGAGCCTGGACCCCAGGCAGAGGGTGCACAGCCTCCTGCTGGAGGCCCAGTGTCCCCAGCGGGCACCCGGCCACAGCTGGCACAGGGGGCTCACTGCAGGGCCAGTGGGAGCCTTTCAGGCAAAGAGGCTGCTGCCCCAAGGGTTCTGAGGTGCTTCTGGGTTATCCTGGCATTTCCCTGGCTGTTCCTAGTTACCCTGGCAGCAGCCCTGGCCATCATCAGGGCCACCCCTACAGATGAGGAAACTGAGCACAGAAGGTCTGGTAACTTGCCCGAAGCCACCCAGCTGGTCAGTAATAGGGTGGGGTTGGGTCCCAGCACCCATGCTGTGAAGCCCCACACAGGCTGCTTCTCACGATGAAGCACAGACATCCTGGCTCCTGGCTTCCTGAGGGCTTCCCACACCAAACAGCGAGTCCTGTCCTGCGTGTGGTTCCAGCGTCCACCCTGGCCTCTGAGGAGGCGGGGCCAGATGAGGCCAGCGGGGCTTGGCAAGGAATGGAGCTGAGGCCCCCAGGGCAGGTGCTCATGGAGTTCCGCTGATCAGCGGAACAGCCGGGCTGTGCGATCTTCCTGGCACTCGTTGGAGAAGAGGGAGGTCACTCCTGACTGCTGGGAATCACTGCGTCACCCGGGGGAAGTGACCACGTGGGGTGGACAGCTGTGTTTGGTGCCTGTAGGGACTCCACCCAGCATCCTTTTTGTCTGACACCAAAGCCCTGGTTGGGTTTTTGTTTGTTTTATCCTCACCCAATGATATGTTTTTTTATTTTAGAGAGGAAAGGAGTGAGGGATAGAGAAAGAGAGAGAGAAAGAGAGAGAGAGAGAGAGAGAGAGAGAGAGAGAGAGAGAGAGAGAGAGAGATCCCTTGCCCCCGAATGCACCCGGATAGAGGACCAATCCTGCAACCTTTCGGTGATCAGGATGACACTCCAACCAACGGAGCCACCGGCCAGGGCACCAAGGCCCTGTTTGAACTCTCTGCTGCCCCTGCAGGATTTCCCTCTGATTTGTATAATTACTAGTAGCTTTTGAACCCAAGGATAGAAAAGTACAAACCAGTCACCATGATAAGCATGTGTCAGGGCCTAGAAGGAGGTCTGGGATCCCCCATCTTACAGACAATGAGCCTAAGGTGACACTTCTGACTCTGAGCCCGCCCCCTATCCTCTCCCCCGCCCCCTCCCCACCCTGCCCCCCACCCACCACACACACACTTGAGGCACCAACAGGGTCTGGCCCACTTTCTGCAGCTCCACCTCCAGAGCCTTTTCAAGGTGAGCCCACGCCAGGGCCCCTTGCCCGGGGGGTTGGAGTGGAGACCCAGGCAGCTTCCCCCTCAGGGCCATGCTGCCGCCTACCCGCCTACCCCGGGCCCCACCAGGAAGGGCCCTATCACTCCACCGCCCCGGCTCTTGGGGAAACTGTTTGCCGAGGCTGGGAGAGGCTTCCACGGGCCAGTCCAGGGCACAGTCACCTCCTGGACCTGGGGCTGTGCCTGCCTGCCTCCCCCCATTACTGCTCTCCCTGTGGGCACCTCCTCTTCTGGGGTAAATCAAGGCACCCTCCTTCTCGACCATCTGGGACATCTGGGAAGTGGCCTCGACGCCTCTGAGCCTCAGTTTCCCATGGATGGCGTGGGGATAATAAAGCTCAGAGGGTTTAAAGCAGGGGTCCTCAAACTACGGCCCTCGGGCCACATGCGGCCCGACGAAAACATTTGTTTTTTTACTTCAAAACAAGATATGTGCAGTGTGCATAGGCATTTGTCATTTGTTCGTAGTTTTTTTTTAAACTATAGTCCGGCCCTCCAACGGTCTGAGGGACAGTGAACTGGCCCCCTGTTTAAAAAGTTTGAGGACCCCTGGTTTAAAGACAGCCACCCAGACAGGGCCCACACATGTGGCCAAAAGGTGGGAAAGGCAGCCCTTTGCATCCCACACCGCAGGGCCGCCCCCTACTCTCTCACTCCCCAGAGGGCCCATCTGCACACACCCTGGACCTGCCCCTGATAACTCACCCCCCAGGGAGCAGACCCCCCCTCAGGAGGTCTTCCCTGCTGCCCCCAGACTCCTAATCTGCTCAACACTTCAAAAGCCCCGCCGCATGCCAGGCACTGTTCAAACGCCCTAGATACGCTATCTGCATCCTTACCCCAATCCTGGGAGGCGGCTCAAGGATTACCCCTATTTTACAGATGTGGAAACTGAGGCCCAGAGAAGAAAAAGCAGCTCGCCTGAGGTCACCAAGCTAGGAAACGGCTCAACCCAGGGAGGCCATCTCCTAAGTCAGTGCCCAAGCCGAGCTGCTGGCCTCCCCTTTCATTCCAACAAAGCCCCACTCTCCCAGGGCTGACCAGTGTCCTTCTCCCCTCAGCACCCAGGACAGGACAGGCGCCCAGAGGGAGCTCCGCCACCATCTGTGCAATGCCCCAATGCAGGTGATTATCATCCCTCGGTCCTGTGAGGCATGTGAGACCGGCCTGGGGCAGAGGTTGTGTCAGGATTGTCCCATCGGGCATATCTGCCCATGCACCCTCTGCCACCCCAGTGTGGCTTCCTCAGAGAACCAGAGCGGCTTCCCTGGCAAGGCAGCCAGCTCAGCCCTGTAAAATCGCCTGTGCCCACTGCCTAGGAACTCACTGGGTTCACGAAGGGAGCCTGGACGCTGCTGAAGGCCATCTCTCCACCACCTCTGTGGTCCCGGCTGCTCCTCACACCAGCCAGGCAGTTCTCGGCACTGGGAAGGACTTTACAATGAAACAGAAACCAAAGCTATCGGGCAGTTATTCAATGGGAGGAGCCAGGAGCAAGAGGAAGTGGGTGTAGAGAACGGGAGTGTGGACTGTGGACTGTGGACGTGCTGGGGGAAAGGGCGAGGGTGGGACTCAGGAACAGTTAAGTAGATACTCCCACTCCAGTGACCTGGATGTTTCTATCTCCCTCTCCCTTCCTCTCTGAAATCAACAAAAAACAGATTTGAAAACCATCCAGATACTTATTTTATGGCATTACAAAAATAAATCTAAATAAGTATTCACATAAACGGTGAGAGGTGGAGGTGAGGCTCCGTTTACTTTTCAGGATGTTCCTCCGTCACTTAAAGGCTCTGGGTAAAGGGTCTTTACCACAAAGCTGTAGTGCACTTCACTGATTAATAGGAATTAATCACATAAAATGTATACTTTCACACAGAAAGTGCTACTGTACTGTCACGCCCACTACTGAACAGATTCATTTCTTAAACCAGGTGATACAGAATCCATGAAATTTCCGCAGGCCCTTCACTTGCCAGGAAACTTCTCGTTCAGCAGGTATATGCGAAGGTTTACATCCACTGTCGCCTCACCAAACATTTCCCTTACAGCTACGCCTCCACATTGCATCTCAAGTAACGCGGAGCTGCACCTTTCCCATCTCGGCACCCAGGAATCTGGATTTGACGTCCAGCGTGCCCACATCTTCAGTAGCTATGCTATCACAGTGACATTTTAAAACTGGTTTGTCTGCAGCTGGTCGATGGCCAGCAGGTCACCCTTCTCACCAGCTTTGCGGCTGTGGACTTGACTCGCTTTGCCCTCTTCACCCACTTGGATTCTCCCAAAAGGAGAGAAGTGCTGACTCATGCTACAGTGTGGATGAACCCAGAGGGCACTATGCTAAGCGAAATAAGCCAGACACAAAAGACAAATACTGGATGGCTCCACTCCTGCGCGGTCCCTAGCGTAGCCACACTTCTAGAGAAGGACGTAGGCTGGTGGTTTCCAGGGGCTGGGGGGAGTGGGAAATGATTTGTTGTTAATACGTATAGAGTTTCAGTATTGCAAGTTGAAAAAAGATTTGTGGATGGAAGGTGGGCATGAGTCGGAGAGGGAACATTTTTCCTCTAGCTTATAATTAAATTGATGGGAGACAGCCCACGCTACCCTTTCACCTCCCGGCAGTTGGCCAACATGGATGTGAGACCCGGCCGCACCGTCCTGGAGAGTGGGGCACCCGGGGGACGGCGAAGGTGCGGGCGCCGGTGTAGAGCGCGCGGTGCCCGGCCTGGGAGCTCGGCGACTGCGCGGGGAGGCCCGTGGGCATCCGCCTGTCCCCACTGGGGGTGGCCGTGTTCTGCGTGCTGGGGCTCGGCGTGCCTTTCCACCTCTACTTGGGCTTCCTGGCCGGCTTCAGCCTCTTCGGCCTGGGCGGGGAGCCTGATGGCGGCACCGTGGACCTGCGAGAGGTGCTGGCCATGTCAGTGCGGTGCTGGCCACCGTCTGCGGTCCGCGGGGGCGACGAGGTGAGGCGCGTTCCCGAAAGCAACGTCCTCCACGAGAAGTCCCAGGGGAAGACGCGCGAGGGGGCCGACGGCAAGATGACCAGCGGGGACGTGCTGTCCAACCGCAAGATGTTCTACCTGCTCAAGACCACCTTCCCTCACGTGCAGCAAGTAACACTGGCTTTCATCATGAGCTGCTGAATTCTCAAACACAACGCACAACATTTTCCATTTTTCTTTGGCCCTACCCTGCTTTGTCACAGTCTATCTATACTTACATGTGTTTGCATCTCTCTGGTTCCCTAGAGTTGGTAGAAGAAACAGGAGTTTCAGAGAAGTTGACATAGTTGTAAGAGTAGCAATAGTAACAATTTATTGAGTAGATTCTAGGTGCCCAGACCCTGGCCACACAGGACTTCATTTGATCCTCACAGCGACTTCAGAAGTAAATTTTATTTGTGCCGACTTTACAGATGGGAAATCTGCAGCTCATGGCACTTTGCTGCAGTTTATATCGTCAGTCTGACTTCATTTTAGCTAGATCTTTAGGAGGCTACTTACAACCGAGCTTACAGTGTGGCTTCCTAGGGAAACACAGTTGTACAAGCTTAAAAGCAATAATGGTGAAATACGGTAAGCAGAGTTGGATTTTTTTAAGGCAAAGATAAAAATAGCCTTAAATATTGAAAACATAGATCTGTTTGTGCATGTTCACATGCCAGCTCCACCCCACTCCACTTCTGCCAACGCCTTTGTCTTGGGTAACTTTCACAGGATTCTGAGTTTGCTTTCTCACTTATTAGCAAACACTGAGGGCACAGCTGCCAAGGGTCGAGAGCTGCCTTTTATTAAACACTAAAGCTAAACTTTTGGAATTGTAAAAAAATAATAATAATAATAATAATAATAATAAGTAAAAAATAAATAAATCGACGTGAGACAGATTAACAGGAGAAAAACCAAATATAATTGTGCAGGTACAAGGGCTCCATAAGAATATGAGGCCACAGGCTGTCAGACCGTTGAGGCTCATATGCTGCCCTGAGGTCAGGAGAAGGGGTAGGGGCCTGGGACAATTCACAGGGAGGTGGGAAGAACAAATACTTGCTTAACCAATGTTTGCCATGCAAGGCAGAGAAGTCTTTCTAGTATAAACAGAGGCTGTCTTTGGTAACAGCTCTCTTCCTCCCAATCCCAGCTGGAGGGCAGAGGAGGTTTAAAAAATTTCATGAATTTTCTATGTCTTAAAAATAACCAGCTTAAGTAATACAGATGCCAAAGACACATATTTGGGGGGTGGGGAGTTTTTGTTCCCCTTCAGTCCTGCCTTTGAAACTTTCCTGGGACGTCTCACAGTTCAGAAGTTAAGTAGGTGGATTGCTCCATCTTAAGGGACCGGTCTCTTGGTCCTGACAACAGGTCAGTTTAATTAAACTCATTTCAGTTATGCAGTTGGGCTCCCAAAATTAGGACTATGGCTAAAGCGATTGGGTGTTTATGAAGGCGTTTCTGTGGAAACAAAAGAAAAACACAGGTTAATGCTGGGAGAAGACTGTGCACCCAGTCTGAGTCTGGAGCCAGCCAGTGAAGACGATTCCTAGCTGTCTGGCTCCAGCATGTTCAGATGGAGAGAGGGCGGGCAATGGCAATGCCGACAGCTGCTCTTAGTTTGCAGCGTGAATGTCTCTAGACACGAGGATAGTTTGAAAGAAACCTTACCCCTTCCCAAACCCAAGGAAATACAGTATCATCAAAACGTAACAAAGGCCGGAGGCGTTGCTCTCTCTCTTCAGCAGCCCCAGGAGGTGTGGGCGAAAGGGGCCCCATGCTGACCTGACAAGCTCAGGGAAGGCCTGCATGGTGGTCTTGCAAGCTCAGAGACCTACTGTAACCACAAAGGATGGTTTGAAATAAAACTTTAACTAAAAGCAGTTAGGGTGGGCAGTTACGTCCTAGGCTGGTATCTTCACTGACAAGGCCAACCTTTACCTTAACTGAGCCTGTCTTTTTGCATCTATAATAACATACCCTTGAAATGTCTGGGTAACTTCCCTTTCTTTTTTCTGGACCCCCTGGGGCACAACCTAATGTGCCTGGGCTCCAGGATGGATAGCACAAATCCCATCATTGTTATGTTAATTGTTCCTGCACCTACCTAAGTATGTGTCTATCATTTTACTTTTTATCCAATCCCAGGGGTCCCCCCCCCCCCCCCCCCGCTTTTCTTTCTCCCGCCTCTCTATCACCAGTGGATTTCATGTAACCCACCCATGTCCCTTTCCTTGGATTGCACTGTATAAATACAGATGTAACCCACCATTCTCCGGAGCATTATCTCAATCCATTGAGGTTCTGCATCCTTGCATGTGTGACAGTTTGGCTCAAACAAACTCACAAAAATTCTTTACAGGTTTCAATGGTTTTTTACGTTAACAGGGGGAAGTGCAGCGCCCATCAAGGGCCGGGCGGGAGCAGAGACTGTGCGAGGCCTCTGGAGCCTCGGATGCTGGGGTGACGGCACCACAGTCTGGGTCCCGGCCCTCCTCCCGGGCTTGGTGGGGACAAGTGAGGGCCTGTGGCCCCGGAGGCTGCACTTCGGTGCGTTGGAGCTGAGTCATCTGGTTGTAGACGAGGCATCGCCTAAGCCCTTCCTTTGTTTTTGCTCCAATAAATCTTGCCACCAGACCTCAAATCCTCCGCCTGTACCCCTGAAATGTGTTTGCGGCAAGCCCGTGGAACAATCCTATTTTCTCCGGCAAAATGAGACCAAGCGGTGAACCTGGGAATTGCCCCCTTGCCAACACTAGCCTAGTCAGGACAGAAAGGCACTGTTGTAAAGACAGACAAATAGAGCGGACAGAATAGAAAGTCCCGAAATAGGCCCACACTTATTTGGTCGATTGATATTCAACAGACACCAAAGCAAGTCAATGTGGAAAGGCAATTCAAAGTAGCGAATGGCGTTACACAAGTTGGCGGTGCATAAGGAAAAAGAGGAACGCTGATCTATACCTCATGCCACACACAAAAAATAAACTAGAAATGGATCACAGATGTACGTGTAAAACCCAACACTATAAAGCTTCTAGGACAAATGGGAGGAAATCTGTAACCCAAGTATAAGCAAAGCCTTCCTGAACGGAACCCGAAAGGTATCATAAAAGACAAGAGAAGACAAAGTGGACTTCACAAATTAAAAACTCCTGTGCATCAACCCGCTGAAATAGCTACAATGATACAGGCGGACCGCGCTCCTTGTTCGCAGGAATACGGAGCAGCTGGACGCTCGCACCATGGTCCTGACAGCGCACAATGTCCATCGCGTTGGCCGTGGTTCTGGTAGTTCCTCCTAACGTTAAACGTACCTTCTCCATGACCTGGACATTTCACTTCTAGGTATTTACTCCAAGGGAATGAAGTCATAGGTCCCCACAAAGGCTTGTGTGTGAACACACAGCGCAGCCGTACAATAATAGAATACGATGTAGTAATAAAAGCTACCGTAAACACAATATAGGGAAGTCTCAAAAATAGTGTACTAAGAAAAAGGAGGCAGACACACAACATACACACGGAATGCTTCCATTTAAGTCGGGTTCTAGGAGAGGCACAAGGAATCTGTGAGGAAAGAAATCAAACAGTGGTTACCACCGGGAGGAGCAGGGCTGCCTGGGAAGGGGCTGGAGGGATCTCTCTGGGGTGACAGAAATATTCTCTTTCTTTTTTCATCCCCATTGTCTTTTTTAAAAATCCTCACCTGAGGATATCTTTCCATTGCTTTTCAAAGAGAGTGGAAGGGAGGGAGGGAGAGAGGGAGAGAGAGAAACATTAATGTGAGAGAGACACATCAACTGGTTGCCTCTGCACCAGCCCCAACCAGGAACGGAGAGCAAACCCACAACCCAGGTACATGCCCTTGACTGGGAATCGAACCTGAGACCCTTCAGGGCATGGGCCAGTGCTCTAACTGCTGAGCTACACCGGCCAGGGCAATGTTCTCTTTCTTGATAAGAGCATGAGTTACTTGGGTGTCGGCACTTGTCAAAACTCACCAAACTGTACACTTAAGTTCTCTGCTTTTCATTCGTATGCAAAGCACACCTTAATGTCTTTAAAAAAAAAAAGTTTCAGACAGGCCCAAGGGACTCAACGCCGTGTATATTTAAAAACAAAAAACAAACCACAAAAAGGCAAAAAACCTGTATGTCAGCAGGAGGGCCAGTGAAGACAGCGACGCCATGTGTCACTGAGAAGAAAGCAGGTAATGTGAGGCCCACAAGTCACCTTCAGCCTGGACGGCCACCTCCAGGCCCAGGCCGGCTCCCCCTGCCCTGGGCCTTTCAAGGGGGAGCATCGGCCTGCTTTGTGAGGTCACCTGCCATCAGCAAAACGTTCCCACTGCCTCAGTGAAGTCCCTCCTCTGGCTCTCACACGCTCTCAGTCTCCTCTCGGCAAAGGCTCGCATGGCTCAGGCACCCAGGCTTCCAGGGAGTGGCCCGGGGAAGCCCAGCGAGGAGCTCCACCTGCACCACAATCTCACCTTCCCCACAGGGCCTGCGGCCGGAGCCTCGCCCTTCTGCCAGCAGGAATCGAAACTGAACGCTCCTTTGGAAAGTATGGGGGAGCAGGGAGGAGGCTTGTCTTGGAAGCAGAAGGAGACGGGGACCCCTGTCTGGGGCAGATAAGGGGCTGTGGAGGGGGGGGGCCGGGGGAGGGGGAGGCTTCTTTCTAGTTCTGCCCACAGGCCCTTCTCACACCTTTCTCCTTCGCAGAGCCTGGCTGCTCAGGCCTCTGCCTGATGGGAAGGAGTTGAAACTATCCAGAGGTCAGGACATCTCCTGAAGTCAACCATTTTCATGGAAAGTGGAGGGTAGAGAGCGGAGGGTGCAGACTCTACCACTGCCGCAAGTATGCCCAGCCCTGGAGGCAGGAGAGAAACATCAGCAGGTGATGCTAGCCATGGGGAGCCAAGACTCTCCCGGAACCTGGGATTGGGTGGAGTGGGGGTGCGGCTGGATACCTGCCTTTTATTTTCTTTCTTTTTTTAAATATATTTTTATTGATTTCAGAAAGGAAGGGAGAGGGAGAGAGATAGAAATATCAATAATGAGAGAATCACTGATTGGCTGCCTCCTGCATGCCCCCTACTGGGGATCGAGCCCGCAACCTGGGACCCTTCAGTCTGCAGGCTAAGGCTCTATCCATTGAGCTAAACCGGCCAGGGCAGGATACCTGCCTTTTCAACAAACACCCCACGTAGGTTTTGGGGACCCAAATGACAAATTTGGGGGCATCTTTAAGAAAAAGAATACCGTACTTTATTTTTTTAATTTATTTTTTATTTTTTTAAAATATTTATTATTCTTTATTAGTTTCATATGTCCACACAGTGGTTAGACAATCATGTGCTTTACAGAGTAGTACCCCCTAAGAATACCGTACTTTACTAAAAATAGATGAACAGGGTGCTAGAGCCCCGCCCAGGGTCCACACACCTGCAGCCCAGCCTCCCGGGGCTGCCTGTGAGTCCAGCTCTGAGCCCAGAGGATTCCGGTGAGAGAGGAAATGAAACTCAGATGAGGAGCTCAGGTTAGCAGCTCATTTACAGCGTTCCCTGAGCCCTTGCTGGTGCCCTGCCCCGAGCTTGGCTCTGGGGACCACAGGCCAAGAGCACGTTGTTCTTTCCCTCGAAAGTTTCATAGGTCATTGGGATCCCTGGTGGCGCCAATTATTAACCGCATTGATGTGCTGTGAAGGAAGTGCCTTCCGCTTTCGGTGGGGCACAGCAGCTGGGTGAAGCCAGGTCAGCTGCTTTAATCCTCTAAAGCCTCGGTTTCCTCATCTGGGAGGTGGAGCCAGTCACGAGCTTTTTCATCAGGTGGTTGTGAGGGTGAAACAAACTAATGCTCAGAAGGCACTGAAGTCGAAGCCTGGCAGGGAGGGAGCGCCCCGGGGAATTATGGCTGTGTTTTCACATGTCCCACCTGTGGGCGGTTGTTGGGAGCCATTAGAGATATCGGCTTAGACAAAGCCATCTTAAGAATTATAAGTTTCTGGTTCCTCCAGAAACTCCTAATTACCAGAAACTACGTGTGTCCTGCGATTTGGCCAGCAGCTAAAGATAACCATCCTATTCCCTGAAGCAACTACTGCCACATCGGAGCCTGCTACAACCCTGCTGATAAGCTAATGGGCTTCTCCACCCCCCCCACCCCCCCTCCACCCCCCACCCCCGTCCCTAAAACAGTATATATCCTGCCGCGGTAAGAATAAAATTTGAGGCTTGATCAGAACTTGTCTTGCCTCCATTCTTTCGTGTCCCTTGTTTGTCTCATTCTCCTAGGGTGTCTCTTCGTTCCCCCGTTGTTGTCCCGCGGGTCGGGGCAGGCGGTGAGGCCAGGATGGGGTTCAGAGAGGGAGATGGTCCATGGGCTGAGTCTTGAAGGACCGACCAGTGGTATCCCTTCCATCGATGGCAGGAACAGGAGTGGAAGAGCCTGCAGCTCCCTGGATCAAGCACACTCAGCATCACTGTTTGCTCGCGCTCCTCTCTGGGGAGCCCAGAGGATTAGTGTCGTATCACTTAGCCAGACGCATACCTGCCTCTGCCTTTAGTCCCAATTGACTAGCCTGGGCCTAGCCTGACTTCCCAATTTCTTTTAAATAAACATATCGGCATTTATTATTATTATTATTATTATTATTATTACTATTATTATTTTAATAAACAACAGCAATTTATTTCCCACAGCTATGGAGGCTGTATCTGAGATCAGGGCATCAGCACGGCTGGGTGAGGGCCCTCTTTGAGCTGCAGATTTCTCACACGGCAGACGGGGCGAGGGAGCTCTGTGAGATCTCTTTAAGAAGAGCACCATTGCCAGGGCTCCGGCTTTAGGACTTAAGCACCTCCCACGGGGCACCTCCAACTCCCATCCCATGGGGCAATAGGTTTTCAACATAGGAATGTTGAAAAGACACTAACATTGAGACCATAGCAGCTGCCAGCAGTAGAGTTCTTCACACAATAATTGTTCTTAATGCCCTTGCTTGTTAATATCAGATATGTCATTTCTGAGTGTTTCTTTTGTATTGAATTTGTTGGGGTGACATTGGTTAATAAAGTTACTCAGGTTTCAGAGGTACAATTCTATGATGCGTCATCTCTATACTGCATTGTATATTCACCATCCCAAGTCACGTCTCCTTCCATCACCATTTATCCCCCCACCCTTTACCCTCTTCTACCTTCCCCAACCCTCCTGCATTTATTTTAAAAGCAAACTTTATGTCATTTATGCCATGATCATAATGGGTGAAGGGGGTCATGGGAATTTTAAGAGGACACAAACTTTGGACCATAGCAGTTGACAAATACCCCAAACATCATAGAAGCCAGGAAAATAAATCTTTTATTAATTAATTTCCTGGTGCTAGAAACGTTTTGGCTGCATACTCTGCTTCTTCGTGTGATGAAGATTTGACACATTTCTATAGGGAAAGTAGAAAGATCATTCCGCTGGTCTGCTTCTTCTCCACCACCCAGGTACTTTGGGTACCAGGCGCTGCGGGACACGCTCCTTGGTGATGCTCCTCTGGCCCTGTATCCTTGTCCCTGGACCCAGGTGGGGCAGCATGGTGGGCAGGAGGCCATTCCTAAGCTGAGAATAACTGAATTATTCATGTAAGTGGCTGTGAACCACATAAACATATCCCACTAAACTTAAAGTAAATAGATGCCCAATTCAACTTCCCCTTAGCCAGATCCCCAAAATGCACACGGCCTCTCCAACACTGTCTGAGTCTCAAGGAAGTGTGATGGAGGGAGGGGAAGGAGACGGGAGTGTTAAGCAGTTCACCAAATGTTACAGACATTTATACCCATGCAAACCCTTGCCATGCGGTGAAGGGCCTTAAAGTTCAAGCTAGGAAAGTGGACGCTGGCTGGATGGGCTTATAGCCCGTGGTGTTTGCCAAATGGAGATGAGACCTGGTTTGGCTGTAGCCCCTGGCCCCAGTCCGTGCCCGCCCCCTCAGCGGCTCCCCTTCTTTCTTCCTCTCCTACTCCAGGCTTTCAGGGAACAAAGTCCCTCTTGGTTCTCTGTAAACACTCCCTGGAAAGCAAACAGGGCTTACTGACACCAGATTGCTCTCTGCCTAGCACTGGGCCAGAGATTTTACACCTGTCATCTTCTTTATTATTATTGATTTCAGAGAGAAAGGGAGAGGGAGAGAGAAATAGAAACATCAATGCCGAGAGAGAATCATTGATTGGCTGCCTCCTGCACACCCCACCCTGGGGATCAAGCCTACAACCCAGGCACGTGCCCTGCCCGAGAATAGAACCATGACCTCCTCCTGGTTCATCGGTCGACACTCAACCACTGAGCCACACCGACCAGGCACATCTGTCATCTTTGGTCAAGCTCCTGGCAGCCCTTCCCGGTCTGCGTGCTCCCACGCACCCACCAGCCCCTCCCTCGATTTTGGTGCTAGTTGAAGAGATCGCCTGAGCAACCAGGAACCAGCTGCTGACCTGCTAAGCCGACACCAACTAGTCCGCATTCTAGTTTATCTCTTGCTGCATAAAATGTTACAAAACTTAGTAGCTTCACACAATGGCATTTATCTGGCTCCCAAATCTGAACTTGGGCATTCGATGGGGAAAGCTCATCTCTGCCTAAGAGAATGGGAGCCGCTCTGTACCTATAACCGAGCCTCAGAAGGCATGCATCGCCATTTCCGCCACATTCTATTGGTCGAGGCAACAGGACGTGTGATGCTAACCACTGCACCACCCTGCCTCGTTCTCAGATGCCTTTTCATGGGACGGGCTTCCTTCCATGGACCATATTGTTTGCCAAAGGAATGTGGCTCTGTGCCTGCAAGGGTGAGGAGGGCTCTGCCAGACCAGACTTCTGGTTTCTTTTTTTTTAATCCTCACTGGAGAATATTTTTTCCATTGATTTTCAGAGAGTGGAAGGGAGGGAGTAGGGGGGAGAGAGAAAGAGAAACATCGACATGAGAGAGACACATTGATTGGCTGCTTCCCACACGTGACCCCACTGGGGCCAGGGAACCTGCAGGAATCAAACCTGCAACCCCTGGTCCGAAGGCGACGCTCTAACCCAGCCGTGGGCAAACTACGGCCCGATTGAAATGAATAAAACTAAAAAAAAAAAAAAGACCGTACCCTTTTATGTAATGGTGTTTACTTTGAGTTTATATTAGTTCACACAAACACTCCATCCATGCTTTTGTTCCGGCCCTCCGGTCCAGTTTAAGAACCCACTCTGGCCCTCGAGTCAAAAAGCTTGCCCACCCCTGGTCTAACCACTGACGCTGAAACCAGGGCTCCTGGTTTCACTTTTTTGTTTTTTTTCGTAAATCCTCACCTGAGGATATTTCCCCATTGCTTTCAGATAGAGTGGAAAGGAGGTGAGAGGGAGAGAGAAACATTTATGTGAGACACATGGATTGGTTGCCTCCTGCACATGCCCCTACCAGGGCTGGGGAGTGAGCCTGCAATAGAGGTATGTGCCCTTGATCGGGAATCGAACCTGGGACCCTCCGGTGAGCAGGCCGATGCTCTAACCACTGAGCAACCGGCCAGGGCTCCTGGTTTCATTTTTGAACACTCTTTTCTGTGCCTGGGGAGTGGGAAGCCCAGAGTGTCAGGCTCTGCTCTGGGTCCTGTCAACACTGTCATATCCAGGCCCCTTCCAGAGGGGGCAGGGGATGGGAGCTGGAGGCTGCTCTGCTGAGCAGGAAGGAACAATGAGTCCATTCTCTTGTATCCGGGACTTCCTGAGGAGACTGCAGTGCGGAATGAAATGGTATTTTCCATGGAATGGCCCATTATCTTATATAGGACCCCAGGTGTTCCATCAAGAGCACACACTCTGAGTCAGCCAGGTGTGGCTTCGGGTCCAAGGTGCTCCTTCCCTTGCTGGCTGGATGGCCCTGAGCCAGTTACTTCACCTCGTGACGCCAAGCTACTCCTCCTGTAAATGGGGGTAAGGCTTGTGTCACGTAACTTGCCTGCTATGAAATGAGAGGGTATATAGCATGGCCCTGACACATAGTAGCACTCAGTGATGCCCAGCACGAGACCCTGCACCCAAGGAATCTGACCAACACATAACAGTGTGGGGCTTTCGCCTCCCTTGTCTTCGACACTGTGCTTCTAGTAATGCAACTTGAGATGGTTTTATTACTTTTGGCATATCGCTCAGTAGTTCTCACCCACTTAAATCCCCATTCTTTCCGCCCGTGGCAGCTACAGCCCTCATAACAGGCCCAGCTGCAGGCAGTGATGTTCCAGAAATATGGCTAATCCCACACCACTTCCTCCATGGAAGGCCTGCCCAGTCCACCCAACAAAGGAGGATCAGGGGAGATGCGAACCCAGGCCCTCCGGACCCTCCCCTGACCCTCTAGTCCCACGGGGAGAGATAGTGGACACTCAGTTCCTACGTGGTGATGGTGAGAAGGGTGGTGGCTATTCCCCAATGCTGCTCTGCCGCCCAGCCTAGACACTTACTGAAATGACTTTTTAAACAATTTACTGGTGGGATGGGGGTGAGAGGTGGACACCTGCATCCACATTGGGATCTAGAAAGCATCCTGGGCCACCCACGTGGTTTGGACGTTGCAGACAATCCACGGCTAGAGTCCACGTGACTAGGGAAGGAAGTCGGCAGGGGTAGTGAGTAGCTCCCCTTCAGGGAGCAGGCCTGTTGTTCTGGGAAGTGCCGGGGGCGGAAGCTCGCCGGCGGAGGACACACATCAGGCTGTGAGCACTTACCACATGCCAAGTGCTTCACGGTTTCATCTATCTCATCTTCACCACAAGTAGGTAGCAAGAGCCTACTTTCTGTATCAACGAGGAGAGGACGGGTGCTGGGAGGTGTGGGGCTCATGCTGGGTCACATGGCCGGTGAGTGTGAGGGCAGCCAGAGCTGGGCCAGCACCCGTGGGCCAGTTCCAGTCTTCAAACTTTTTTTTTTTGCAATTTTCGGATAACCCCTTTTTTATTTTTATTAATTAATTAAATCTTTATTGTTCAGATTACAGTTGTTCCTCTTTATTCCCCCCCATAACTCCCCTCCACCCAGTTCCCACCCCACCCTCCTCCCTCACTCCCCACCCACTGTCCTCATCCATAGGTGCACGATTTTTGTCCAGTCTCTTCCCGCATCCCCCTCACCCTTTTCCCCCCCAAGAATAGTCAGTCCACTCCCTTTCTATGCCCCTGATTCTATTATAATCACCAGTTCAATCTGTTCATCAGATTATTAACTTGATTTTCAGATTCACTTGTTGATAGATGTGTATTTGTTGTTCATAATTTGTATCTTTACCTTTTTCTTCTTCTTCCTCTTCTTAAACGATACCTTTCAGCATTTCATATAATCCTGGTTTGGTGGTGATGAAGTCCTTTAGCTTTTTCTTATCTGTGAACTCTTTATCTGACCTTTAGTTCTGAATGATAGCTTTGCTGGATAAAGTAATCTTGGTTGTAGGTTCTTGGCATTCATCACTTTGAATATTTCTTGCCACTCCCTTCTGGCCTGCAAAGTTTCTGTTGAGAAATCAGCTTACAGTCGTATGGGTACTCCCTTGTAGGTAACTGACTTTCTTTCTCTTGCTGCTTTTAAGATTCTCCCTTTGTCTTTTGCTCTTGGCATTTTAATTATGATGTGTCTTGGTGTGGTCCTCTTTGGATTCCTTTTGTTTGGGGTTCTCTGCGCTTCCTGGACTTGTAAGTCTATTTTTTTCACCAGGTAGGGGAAGTTTTCTGTCATTATTTCTTCAAATAGGTTTTCAATATCTTGCTCTCTCTTCTTCTGGCACCCCTATAATTCTGATGTTGGTACGCTTGAAGCTGTCCCAGAGGCTCTTTACACTATCTTCGTATTTTTGGATTCTTTTTTCATTTTGCTTTTCTGGTTGGGTGTTTTTTGCTTCTTCATATTTCAAATCTTTGACTTGATTCTTGCGATCCTCTAGTCTGCTGTTGGGATTCTGTATAATATTCTTTATTTCAGTCAGTGTATGCTTACTTTCTAGTTGGTCCTTTATCACAACCTCGAGGGTCTCATTAGATTTCTTGTAGGTCTCATTAAGTTTATCAGCTGTTTCTAGAAAATTCTTGAAAAACCTTATAAGTGTGGTTTTGAACTCTATATCCAGTAGTTTGCTTTCCTCCATTTCTGTCATTTGTGTCCTTTTTCTCTGTCTCCACATTTTTTATGCTTCCCTGTGTTGATAAAGTGGTTTTCTGTGCTAAGTGTCCTCTAGGGTCCAGTGGTTCAGCCTCCCCAATTACCTGAGGAGGACACTCTTGGTGCACCCCCTTGTGGTCTTTGTGCACAGTCTTGTTATAGTTAAGCCTTGATTGTTGTAGGTATCACTGGGAGGAATTGGCCTCCAGGCCAATTGGCTGTGAGAATCAGCTGTGTCTGCAGTGGGAGAACTTCTGTGCTGGAGACACCCCTCTGGGGCAAGACTTGCTTCAATGGGACTTTGGTGCTCACTGAGTCTGCCCCGAGTGTGTCCTTTATGGTTCCACGGAGCTGCAAACTGGATGGTCCCACTCTGACCTCTGGGTATACTGGCTCCTGGATCTCTAGGGAGGTGCTAATCTAGCCTCTGCCTTAGGCTATCCAGCAAAAGCCTCCCTGCAGGGCTTGGGCGGGGCGGGTCCCATGGGATCAACAGGGCGGGCTAGCAGTTATGGCTGCTCTCAGAGGCCCAGCTTCTCAGTGTCTCTGCAATTGCTGCAAGCCCCTCCGAGAGAAAGCTGCCCTCGAGTTCCAACCGATGCCAGATAGTCCTGCTTCTCCCGTATGAGTCTGGGTCCCCAGAGACTTGCCTGTAACTGGAGCTCAGAGCCCGAGACTCCCTCCCAATTGAAAACGACAACTGTGCCCTCAGCTGCCAGCCCGCTCCGCGTGCGCCTCTGTACCTTGGTATTTTACTTCCGCACTGCGCCTCCTCTGAGTCTCGGTTTGCTTTTCTCTTTCCTTCTAGTTGTGGAATTTCCACTCAGCCAGCCTTCCTGTGGTTCTGGATGATGTCCGTTCCATCTTTTAGTTGTATTTTTGAAGTGGTTGTTCAAGGCAGCAAGATCCGGTGTTTACCTATGCCCCCATCTTGGTTTCTCCCCCAGTCTTCAAACTTGATTTGTCCTACCTACTATTTAAAAATAAGGTAAGCCAACTTTTGGGAATTGGGAGATTTCACATAAAAATCCAGACCTCTAGTGTCTCTTTTAAAAAAAAGGCAAACAAACATAAAGGAAGATGTGGCAACACTGGGCTCTCAGAGCCGAGTGCTGGCTGCCTCCTTAGAGCGTGGTTCTCCAGGCAGCCACGCTCCTCCCCAGGCCCTGGTGCCTCTCCAACACAGAGGGCAGGTGCCCGTGGCCATCAGCCATTACACTCTTCCTGTGTGCTTCTTGTAAGACACACGTGTTTCATCATTCCTATGACTCTCCCGAAAGCGAGGAAATAAGCAATACATTGAAAGGGCCTCTATTTGTCACTGGCTCATGGCTGAGGGCAACAGTACCACCTTCTCTGTGTCCCAGCACTTAGCACCATCTTCTGAACATAGTAAGTAGGTGCTCAATACGTGTCAGATCTCTAGGTCCCCCGACTTCTGATGAGAGGGAGATTCTGGAGTCCGAGTCCTGGACTGGCCGCCTACCAGCTGTGTCATCTTCGGTGAATACCGTAACCTCTCCATGCCTCAGTTTCCTCAGTGGAAACACCGCAATTTCTAACTCGTGGTATTGTGAAGATTAGATGAAGGTGAGATTATATACGGAAAGCACCTCCCTGGCTCAGAGTAAAGGTCCCACAAATGTTGGTTCCCCATCTCCTCCATCTGTTTGGCTTACCCCAACCTCCAAAGCACCTCTCTCTATGGTACTGGCAAGGACAGGCTCCTAGAAATAAGATCTGGATAAATGACTCCATCCATCGCCCAAGGCTTCTACAAGGCAAAAGCACCCTGGCCCAAGTGACCAGATGTTACAGTGGGGGCTAGGTGACCTTCCTCTGTGCATCATGGGACTTTGATGCTGTTTAGAAATATCTGCCTTCGAGGTCCCTGCATACCTCCTCTTTCTCTGGAAGGTACTCCCAGAGTAGGCCCGAACCCCCTGAACCCCCCATTCCGGTTCTCCCCACCATCCATCCATCTGAGCAGCCCCCACACTCATTGGACTGGAGCCAAGCAGACACAAGCCCCAGACACCTTGGTACAGTTTTATTCAAACTCCAGATGCCCAGGCTTGGCCTGGCAGAGGGTGTGTTCTTGCCAGTGGCAAAAAGTGATACAGCACGTTCGTTAATACTCATCGTTTTAATTTAAATTAATAGCATTTCTGGAAGACAAGTGCAGTTGGTAGAAAATATAAAAACTTTTCCTGTACAAATTTTACATCACATTCAAAAGAGCAAGTGTGTGCCCCGCGGCCACAGGAGACACAGGGGGTGCGCGCATTGACGAGATCCCGGCTGACGTCGCCGAAGCCCACAAGCTCCCAGTTCGGCTTCACAGTTATGTCTCCACCTGCCCCCCAATTGACACCGAACACAGGCTTCAGGGCGCCACTCCCTCCGACGTCACAGGAAACGCTGGGAGGGGGCAGAGTCCAGGGCCCCGTGCCCGTCTTTAGTTTGGTGACAAGGAGAGGGCACCTTGCTACACACCACTCACGATGAACAGGGACTCGCTGGGGTTCAGGACCTCAAGTTGGATGGAGACCCAGTGGCTGCGGCTCTGGTGGCTAAAGGCAGTGGGGACACAGACCTCGGGACTTTGGAGGTGAGGCTGGAACTCTGGGGGCCCTGAAGGGCCAGTACTTGGGCTCCACTCTGACCCCAGTGCAGACGTCTGCAGCCCCCAGAGCTCTCTCCAAGGAGGCCTCCCAGCTTCTCCTTCCCCTTCACAGTTGGCCATGAGGCTGAATTCACAGTATCTATCGTCCTTCACGTTTCCAAGGCAGGAAGGGAGGGCACACGGAGGGCGTGCACAGCTTCCCAACCTCATTCACAGTCATGGAAACACAGGGAAGGGGCCAGTGGGGGGGGCTTTCCGAGGTGTTTCTCCTAAATGATGGGGAGTGCAGAGGCTTGGGCTATGCGTGGGGAGGCTGCCCGGGGCCTTGGAGAAGAGGTGCCCCCCAGACACTCAGCTACACTCTTGGGGTTCCTGGCAGACCGTCAGTTCCATCAGGGTGGAGACGGTGTCTGTCTTATCACCAGGCCCCTGGCACTTGCACAGAGCACAGTAGCTGCTCAGCAAACGCTTCTTGAGCTGACCCACGAGTGTCACACTCATGAGAAAAAACAAAATGCAGACTAACTTTCGTGGGCGAAGGAGGCGCTGAGCCCTGTGTGCTCCGCTGCTGTCCAAGCCCAGGGCTCACCAGCACGGCCTCAGGCTCAGAGGGGAAGCCGAGAGGCAGCAGTCACACACTGTGATGACGGTGGGGGTGACCTTGTAGAGGGCTGACGGGGGAAGCCAAAGGCATGATGGGAGAAACAGACAGCCCCAGAGGACAGACCCACACAAGCCGAAGCCACTGGTTTCCAGCTCCCATCTTCCTCCCACACCCTAACTGGGAGGTGGGGAGGCGCTCCCATCCGGAGGGCGGACGGGCAGCGGGAGCCGGGTACCTTGCATTGCCCGGCAACTGTGCTCTCCAAGTACCGCTCAGCCAGGGTGCTGGCCTGGCCTGGAGACGGGCCCACAGCCCTCAGCGTCTGGGCAGAGGCCCGTTTCATACGGCATTTTGGTCAGACCAGGAAGGGGGAGGGCGGCTCTGACGATTGGGAGCTTTGCTAGGGGCATAAGTGAAAGGGGTGGGAGGACCACCTGCCTCCCATCTTGGCTCAGAGCACGGACACAGGTTCTGGGCCTGAACCCAACCACACGGCCACTCTCACCCTCCTTGGTCATTTCTGGTTGGGAGCCTAGTAGGACAGAACGTCCACTGATGGGCTTCTTTGCCACGTGGAACTTGTCTCTTGAGGCGGCAGCTTCCAATGAAGACAGGCAGGATGCTCTCTCATCACGGGCTGTCCTGGTTCAAACGGAGGCCTGACAGGGAGGCCTGACTCGGTGCTGGGGAAGGCTCTGGAGACTGGGGGGGCTCTCATGAAAGGGGGGGCACACGCCTCCCATCTTAGATCTGCACATGGAGAGTGGGGGAGCCAGGAGTGGGCTGAGGGGCTTCAACAGGACTGGGGCTGGGGAAGAGATGGGCGGCTCCAGGCCTTGGGGTGACTGAGGATGGGTTTCTAAGGGGCCAGCCAGGTAACACCGAGGCTGGGAGGGGGCTCGGGGACCCACTGCTGCTTCTCCTCCCCCCGCACCTTCCTTGTCCTCACGGAGCCTTCACGGCACACACGGCCTTTGCTCTGGGGTCAAATCAAATGTCAGTCAGGGATTCAGCTGTGTCTAAAAAGCCGCGGCCCTGGCTGCCTCCCTGGGGGCAGGAAGGAAACTTCGCTGCAGAAGGTGGAACCACTGGATCAGTGCAGATGCTACTCGGGTTTGATCCGTCTCTGCCTTTCCAGCTGGGGTGGGCTGAACTGCAGGGGTCAGAGGTGAACCCAGCTCTCTGGGATCTGGGGACCCTCGTATTCCAGCTCGGTTCCCAGCCAGGGTTACCTCTGCAAGAGGAGGGAGGGACGAGGGGAGACCCCGGCCGAGGGAGCTTCCCCCGCCCCCACAACAGGATTTAGGGCCAAAGCAGAGGCGAGGTCAGATCTGTGGTCCCCCATCCTGCCCCCAAAACGTCCACAACATTGGAGGCTTTCCTTCCTGCGGCCCAGCGCGGGCTCCCTGCCCACAGGGCTCTCCACAGGGGCACCATGTCCGCTGTCGCCCCTCAGCACAGCCCGCTTTTATTATTACCTATTGTAAAACATCGCACATGTAAACATTGGCTGCCCGTCGGGACAGGTTTGGTTGTTGGTGATGTCACTTTAAGAAACAGCAGGTGCAGCTCCGTCTCCGAGACCCGAGTGTTTTCTGCGCACAAACAGGTCTGAGCCCAGAACGCAGGCTCCTGGCTTGCGGCGCTTGGGAGAGCGGCAGGCGGACATTTCGGCGGCAAGTGCTGCTTTTTGTGGTGGAGGTTGTGTGGATGTTTTAGAAACACTTTGAAAAAGGAGGAAATCGGCGGGGAAACTGCACAGCTGGCTACATCTTTGGATTACTGGCCTCCAGGGCGCCCAAGCCAAACCTCTCAAACCGGGGTACAACTTTGCTGCTGTTAATGCTGCAAAGAGGAACAAAAACAAGGGTTACAGCCCCGCTGGTCCCGATCAGATCAGGGTGACATGAGCTAAGGAGTGGGCCAATTCCAGAAGCTCACAGAGGACCCAGCCCACCAAGAAGGGAGAATGATTCCACAGCCAACGGCTGTAGTCTCGACAGAGCTGCTCCTGGTCGTGCAGGGTCGGGAGCCCAGCCTTGGCCACACGCCCCCTTGTGCATCTCACAGCCCCCAGCTCCCAGAGCAAGTACCTGCCATGGGCTCCTCTGAGCTGACTTCTCACCACAGCCCAGGGAAGCTCTGTCCCAGAGGAACTGGGAGAAGGACACCCGACCCCAGAGCTGAGTGACATCACCAGCTCCTGTGAGAAGTGGGCCTCACACATCGGAGGGCCACCTGGAAGCACGCAGTGCTCAGGGCCGGCCTCCAGAGACCGGGATCGGGTCTTGGGGGCCCAGGAATCTGCATTTGGCAACAATGCAGGGACTCTGGGTGCCCAGCCAACCACACTCTCGATGAGCTGACTCAGGGTCTGGAAACTGCCGTCCGCACTGGGCAGATGTAAAGGGAGCAACGTTGTGGGTGGGAGGGGGCAGGAGCTTTGCTTTCATCAGTGAAACTGTTTGGAGACAGGCCCCTTGCTTTCAGACGACCCCCCTGAGCGCTGCTGAGCAGTCCTTCCAAGCTGGTGTCTTTTACGGCAACAGACCTTGGGGTGTCCACCACCGGCAGCCCTGCAGAGGGCACGGCCCTGCGCAGCTCTGAAATCGCCCCACTCCTTGCTGGACAAGATCCCTATGGTTAATAGCCAAGCAGACCCCCTCCCCGTTCTTTGGACCCAGCCACTGGGAGGCCGACGTGCTGGGGTTGGCAACGTGCAGGTTGGCAGGGTGGGGGGAGGGCACAGGTCTCACTGAGCTGTTAGTAGGAGGCAGGGCCACCCAACAAAACACGCTAGCACCCGCAGAGGAAGAGCTAGAGAGGGTGCAGCCGCGTCCAGGGCCTTCTGGGAGGAGTTGTTAGGGGGTCCTCCGCGGACACCAGTTATTCAGGCACACGCAGGCCGTGGAGACGGAGGGGCCAGTTTTAAAACAAACAAAGCAAAAGAGGAGGCCTCAGGAGAGAAGGTGGAGCGGCAGAGATGGCGTCCCCGGGTTAGTGCCCGCCTCTCGGTTTGCATTTGAGCAGGAGTCGAGGTGCTGAGTGACGATTAGGAGGAAGAAAGCCCCAGGCACATGCGAGGCAGCCAGGCCTACAACCTATGGGAGGAAAGAGAAGGGAGAGCAGCGTGAGTGAGAACCGGGCCCCACGGGGCGGGGGCAGAAGCCGGGGCCTGGCCAGGTCAGGGGACCCTCTTTCCCTGGAGAGAAAGGGACGCTCCTGTTCCATCCCAGGCCTGGCAGCCAAGCGGGCAGGGAGGGGAAACTGGCGCAAAGAACCATCCCTGAGCTGCCTGGAGCCCGGTCACAGGATCTGAATCAGAGGTTGGCCAATGGGCCCTCTGCCCCTCAGCCCTGGACTATGCAGATGGACTTCTTGGAGCTCACTAAATTTCTGCTCACTGCATTCTTCTGTAAGCTCTGGCCAGAGGGCACCCGGGGGTCTCAGACGATGACCTCCGTTCTCTCTCTGACCCAGGCGCAAGCCATCGTCTGCCACAGGGTGGGCAGAGGCCTTGCTGGTGGCCGTTTCAGCTGCAAAAACATCCCTTTGGTTTATGAGAAAAACACACACAAAGATGAGGTAGCTGGATGCAGACAGGCAGGAAGCGGGGTGAGCGGAGGGGGGCTGCGACAGGCAGAGAGGAAGGGAAGTAACAGAAGACACACTATTCCTCCAGAGCGGGGCAGGGGTTCTTAAAGTCAGGGTGGCCGTATCGTCCTTTCCCGTAGTATCGGCTCCGCCAGCGACTGGGAGTGCCCGCGATCATGTTGCCAGGTGTGGGAGGAGCGAAGTCCGCAGGTGATGCCGTAGGGTCGGCCCCCCCGCGTGGCAGGTGGAGGAGGAGCCACAGGAATCAGGATGGTGGGGAGAGAGAGGGAGATGACAGGACAGGTCATCGCATCAGCCACCCCCCAAAATAAAAAAGCAACAAAACCGATGGAAAAGAAAAAGAAAAGGAGAATTAGAGGCTGAGTGTGTAGAAGTAAACCTCATGAACAGGAAGCTGTGACACGGACTCATGAGGGGGTGCTGGCATTCTTTTCCTTAGAGGCTAATGCTGATCGCAGTGGGCCAGAAGCAGTGCCCAGCGGCGCCTCAGTTTCCCTCGGCGAAATGAGACCGTGGGCTATGGGGTCTTTGGGGATCTGGAACCATCTCATAGCACCTAGCTTTCTCTTCTGCAGATGAGAAAACCGGGGCCCAGACTGTCAAATGAGTTACTTCTTGCAAGTCCAGGAGAACCCCCTGCTCCTGGTCTCTGCTGGGACGGCTCCTGTTCAAAGCCCAGCTCCAAGGACTTCTCTGCCGGAGACCCTTCCTCAAGCTCCCTGGGTGGGCAGAGAGGGCCCGTCCCTGCTCCCACAGAGGCCGTGCTCTGTCCCAGCATTCAGCATACTGTAATTATTCCCTCATCCGTTCACTCACCCATCACCTGTTTACTGAGCAAAGGAGAAAGGTTGGGGGACTAGAGAGCTCTGTGCCGAGTCTGCACTATTTTAAGCCACAGCCACTCTGCGGGTTTTGGTGATGCTCTGACGCCCAGGGGCCCGTGTGGCCCTGTCCTACGCAGCATCCTCTCGTCTGGGCCTGGCCTGGGCCCGGCGTCAGCACTTCTCTGAGAACAGTGATACGGGAGTTTTCAGAGGAGAGCTGGAGACAAAAGGAGTCTCTGGACCAGACGCGGTGTCATTGGTGAGGAACGAGGCCCTCCGGCTAATCTGCTTTGAGTGTTTGCCACCGTCCTGGGCACACAGGGCACAGGGTGCCCTCTGAGACCCCACATGCAGCTCCCAAGGCTGGCTGGCGGGTTTGGCCGCTGAAGGGGTACTTACTCAGCAGACTTCCAGAAGTGCCCGGGGTGGGAGAGCCGCCGGTTCAGCTTGGGCAGTTTCTCCAGCATTTCCATCAGCAGCGTGAAGCTGGGCCTCTCCTGCAGGTCGAAAGCCCAGCAGGCGGACAGGATCTCCTGTGGGCAGAGGCAGCGTTAGGGGGTGTGAGCCGGCTGAGAGGGAGGAAGGTGGGCTGGGGCCTCCGCACAGGGTCCCCTCCGCGCTCGCAAGCACCCCCGGCTGGTGGTCCCTGAACGTCCTGCTGACATTGCGATGACTGGCCAGCAGGGCTGAGAAACAACCGAATTTCAGAAAAGCGCTCATGCTTCCAGTTCAAATAGAAACGCACAAGCCCATCTCCCCTCCTTCCTTCTTTTTTAAAAAATATATTTTTATTGATTTCAGAGAGGAAGGGCAAGGGAGAGAGAGACATCAATGATGAGAGAGGATCCTTGATCGGCTGCCTCCTGCACGCCCTTTACTGGGGATTGAGCCTGCAACCCGGGCACGTGCCCTTGATCGGAATCGAACCCGGGACCCTTCAGTCCACAGGCTGATGCTCTATCCACTGAGCCAAACCAGATAGGGCTCCCCTCCTTCCTTCTCAGACCTCCCTGGAACAACAGCAACAAAGCTGAGTAACAGGCCATAGAAAAGACATCGGCAAGGAAGCCACCAGTTTTTAGAACGGAAAGTGGAAGGCGGTGTGTTGACAGGGGAAACACAAGATGCTCTGAATGTGTGCAGAGGGGGCGGCAACAGGTGGGAGCCTCAGCGTCACGGGGACGAAGGCTGAGTGACAAGGACCAAATGCGGGGCAGCAGGTGAGAGCGGGCAGCAGGGCGGCCCCGAGCGGCCCCCGAGCAGAGCCCTGCTCACCGTGGCGATCTGCAGCCTACTCTCAGGGACCCACACATGTACACCCCCCCTTCAGCCTTTTGACGCAGAGCTACCTGTGAGCAAACATCCTGCAGGGTCAGGCCGACGTGCCCATGTGACAGCGGCACGTGCACATCCTCTTAGACTCAGCAGCTCAGGGGTTTGCTCCTCACTATGTCCGGGCCCCTGGGTGGCTGCCAGGCAGGAAAACTGGGGATAAACGGACCCTAAAAACACCGACTGAGGACACGGCGTGTATGCGTGCGGGGGAGGGTTATCCATAAAACAAGACCAGCGTGCAATAAAGAAAGAGATTGACAAAGTGACAAAGTGCTTGCAATGAATCATGTAGCCTCCGAAATAAAACGTGAGGTAGAAGCAGTAGAAAATAACATCAAGGAAATCCCCTCACTGCGGACCCAGCTCTGGGGAGGAATTGGGAGGCAATGTGACAGAAGGTAAAAGACACGGAAACTCACGAGGAAGGACCGAATTCTGTCTAGCGGAAGTTTCCACTAGAAAACCAAGAAACCATAGGCAGGAAACTAGAACAGCCATAAACAAGAAATCGTCTCAGAAAGTGGAAGGGAACAGAAATCTTCCACTGCCAGGGCCCAATCAAGGGCCTGACTGAAGAAGATAAACAGACTCCAGCTGACGCCAGAACACAGCAGGTTTGAACTCAACCAACGGGCAGGGAAGCTTTCTTTTTAAGAAGGAGGGTAAGTGTGGGGTGATAAAGGACACGGGCCGCCAGCCAGCAGCACTGAGGCCGGCCTGGCACACACCTGCCCCAGGTCCGGCGGCTCAGGTGTGTGAAGGACGCGCAGCCAGGTCAGGTGCCCACGTCCTCCCTCTAGCCCAGTGATGGCGAACCTTTTGAGCTCGGCGTGTCAGCGTTTTGAAAAACCCTAACTTAACTCTGGTGCCGTGTCACATATAGACATTTTTTGATATTTGCAACCATAGTAAAACAAAGATGTATATTTTTGATATTTATTTTATATATTTAAATGCCATTTAACAAAGAGAAATCAACCAGAAAAATGAGTTCGCGTGTCACCTGACATGCGTGTCATAGGTTCGCCATCACTGCCCTCGCCCTTCCTCCCTCTCCTCGGACAGGTGGCTACTCACCGTGACCTCCTTCCCCAGGCTGGCGGAGGCCAGGACTCGCTTCATTCCCTCCCCACTTCCGATCTGCCAGATCAAGGCCTCTGCGGCTTGGTTCTTAAAGGGCCAGTCTCTTGCTTGCAGCTCATACCAAACGGTCCTGTGGAGACCATCCGTGCAGCCTGAGCTCCTGGATCGCTCAGCCCAGCTCACTGCCGGGCGCCTGCTGCCAATGCCAGGAGCCCAGCCAGAGCCTGCAGGATCCTTCTCCAGCCTTCTCTACCCGCCGGGCTTCAGGGAATGCCATGACCACGTCCTGGAGGGTCTAGAGCAGCGGTTCTCAACCTGTAGGTCGCGACCCCTTTGGCGGTCGAACAACCCTTTCACAGGGGTCGCCTAAGACCATCCTGCCTATCAGATATTTACATTACGATTCATAACAGTAGCAACATGACAGTGATGAAGTAGCAACGAAAATAATTTTATGGTTGGGTCAGAACATGAGGAACCCTATTTAAAGGGCCAGAAGGTTGAGAACCCACTGGTCTAGAGTGTCTGTGGCCCGGCGTTCCCATTGTGCTGGGGAGTCTGAGGCAGCCCAGGCTCCGAGCAGAGATCCTGGTACAACTGTCAACCTCAGTGGGACTGACGCCTACATCCAAAGGTTGTTTGAGGGGCAACAAAAATGCCACGCCCGGTGCCTGGCACACAAGGGTGCTTCAGAAATGATAGGGAAGGAGGGGGGCGGGGAGACCACAGATTACAGGGTGAGGCCTCACTCAGCCTCTCCGAGTCCCCTGGCCTCTCCCGACTGATCTGGATGGGGACCTTCTCTGTTAGAGCCACACTGTCCTGTGTGGGGGCCACTGAGCCACTCTCATGTGGGCGTGGGGCTGAGTTGTGCTGTGGGTGTAAAATACACGCCAGGCTTTGCGACTCCGTACGGTAAGGCAGCCCCTTCAATTTTCATTTCTGATTACACGTTGAAGGGATAATACTTTGGAGAATCCGAGTTACAGAAAACATATGACTGCAACGGATGTCATCGGTTTTTCTTTTTCAATGCGGCCAAGAGAAAACTTCCTATTAGACAGGGTGGGGCAGAAGGAGGTTTGCAGTTATTCGGATGGAAAATAAATAGTGATGTAAGAATGATCTGTTTCGTGTACTCACAACTGCAAACCTCCTTTTGCCCCACCCTGTATTCTCCGTTTTCCTTTTGCTCAGTTTCCCGGGGCACTCGAGGCTGCTGGCAGGACATCCCAGAGTGAGGGGACCCAGAGGGGCAGCTCTTAGCTCTGGTGAGTGTCCTCACGGACAATGGGTGAGACCTTAGTCCCCAGGGAACTATCCTATTGGGGAGGTGCCATTACTCTCCCGTTTTACAGGTAGGGAAAGGGAGGGTCAGTAGTGTAGTCACTCGCCCAACAAGCAGCAGAGCCAGGGCTCAAAGCACGCCCACCCTACCCCCCCGGCCCCCCAGCCTCAGAGCCCCAGCAGGAGGGCCTCCTCACCCGAATGCATAGACGTCAGCAGCTTTGGAGAACGGCAGCTGATCCTCTTCTTTCCCGGGCGTCATCTCACGCACGATCTCAGGAGCCAAGTAGCACAGCCAGTCATGTGACAGCTTCAGCTGGTTCTCACGCCTGATGGCCAAGAAGCCAGGGCTCAGACACAAGGCCTTTCAGCGAGCGGCCATCAGAGGCTCGCCCGGCACCACCCACGCCCGGCCCAGAGGGGCCGCACGCTGAGCCTGCACCTGCCACAGCACGGGCGCTTGGGGGGAATGTAGCAGGAGAGGGATGGCCGGGTTTTTCTAGGGAAGCCGGCCAAGAAGGGGGATGGGGAGGGAGCCGCACTGGCAGGTGCCTGGTTCTCGGAGCACATCCCTGTTCAGGAAATCAGACCTGCTGTGCATCTCAGGACCTGGCCTGGAGCTGGCTCTCCAGCCCGGCTGCCACTCTGCCTCCCGGGGGTCCCCCAGATGCTTGGAGAGGAGCTTTCTCCCCATCCCACCCCTTCAAGATTTGGAGAAATAACACCTGACGCCCTTCCTCACATGGGGGACTTGAACCCTGGTCCTCTGCCCAAGGTGGTAAATGTGAGTGAGGGGACCCAGCCTCCCTGGGTCAGCCTGAGAATCAAGTGCACGAGGGACCTACAGGTCATCGAATCTGATTCTGGACCAGAACCACAAAGGCAGGACCAAAGTAAACTGGCCCTTCCTACAAGGAGGGCTGCTCCTCAGACGCAGGAGTGCCCAGACCCCAGCTGGACCCAGGCCCACCCAGCACCCCAGTTCCTCCCAGTTCCGTCTGGAAGCCCAAGGCCAACTCACCGTCCCTCTCGGACCACGCCCGACATCCCGAACAGCCCAAAGTCGGTGATGACCACTTTGCCGTTGTCATAGAAGACATTCTTGGATTTGAGATCCTTGTGCACGATGCCCTTGGCATGCAGATAGCCCATGCCCTGGAAGACAGCGGAGCCCCACGTCAGGGGGAGGGGAGATGAGTGACAATGACCTAGTGTCCACCTGGGCCAGGCACTGAGCTTGACGCCCTACCCAGATCGCCTCACTTAATCTTCACAATCTCATACGGTGTAATTGTCTCCATTTTACAGATGAGGAAACCCAACTCAGAGAGAGGCGGTCACCTGCTCCAGGCCACACAGCTGAGATCTGGTTTTGGTCCATCTGTGCCCTTTCCATGCCTCTGTGTTGTCCAGCATCCTCCTCAGACTTAGCTAACATGGGACACGAGGAGAGGGAGAGGGGTGGGAAGCTGGGTGCCAGGAAGTATATAAAGCATGACAAAACCATCCGCATTAAGGCATACAGGACCCATGTGATCTGGGACCTCTATCCAGGCTTTAACCAGCCAGCTTGTACCCTCAGACTGGGCAAGGGCTCGGGGGGGAGGGAGAGACAGAGAGGAATTCTCACAGAGGGTGTCCCCGAGTTTGGGAGGTCCTGGCATCTGTGCTGTCATGGGGGTTCTGGAATAATGGCTGAAATCTGGGTCCAAGTTCCATCTCAGCTCAGATCCTAATTGGCTGTGCGGCCTTGGACACTCGGCTTCTCTGAGCCTCAGTTTCCTCATCTGACAAGCGAAAGGGCGGAGTGGGTGACTTCTAACCAGTGCTCTATGTGGACCGAACACGGCCTGGCCAGGTAGGGGACGTGGGTGACCTGACGTTGGCATGGTCGCTTCAAGGTCAAAGCTGTCTTCTAATGCCAAACCCAGGACTCCGCAGCTACACCTCTGAGTGACTTTTCTCTTCTGCCCCGGAATCTGCGCCATGGCTCAGTGTTGTGAGAACATGCAGAGAGAACAGTCTGAGGAGGCAGAGAGGCGGAGGGGAGCAGGGCCTAGCACGTCTGGGGGCACACGAAGTAGGTGTGACGCTTGTAATAAATATGCCTCTGATTGATCTTCACAGAAAAGAAACAGCATGTGGCCAGGCGGCTGCTGAATTTCCCCGGAGCAAACAGGATGTGGGGGTGGGGAGAGAGGATGAGAGCTGTACCTGTGGCTGACAGCACGCGTCCTAGGAAGATTCCCCTAGACCAGTGGTTCTCAACCTTCCTAACGCCGCGACCCTTTAATACAGTTCCTCATGTTGTGGTGACCCCCAATTTCATTGTTACAAATTGAACATAATTAAAGCATAGTGATTAATCACAAAAACAATATGTAATTATCTATGTGTTTTCCCAAGGTCTTAGGCGACCCCTGTGAAAGGGTCGTTCGACCCCCAAAGGGGTCGCGACCCACAGGTTGAGAACTGCTGCCCTAGACAAAGGGAGGTCAAGGTCACTAGAGAAGGCCCCAGCCCATTTTTTTTTTTTTAAAATAACCCAATGGGAGACAGCAAGACCGAGGTGACCTATCAGGAAACAGGTGATGACATAGTATGCAGCCAATGAGGAACTGGAGGAGGGTCTAAATAAATAGGCAATGTCCCTTGCCCAGCGAGAGAGCCTGTACAATGGGCGCCCACTCTCCAGTGTTATTAAAAGTCTCATTTTCGCCATGCTTCTGTTTCCTAGTCCGCCATGTGAAATGGGGACAGGCGAGCCATTTCTCACACGCTGCCGCTCTCCCCGGCCTCTCTGAAATGAGAGGCTCAGGGAAGGCATAAAGGTGGTGTTTTGGTTTTGGGGGCTTCACACGTTTAATTCATTAGCTCGGCCACAGGGAAATGTCACGTGGAAATCTTGGTTTGTCCATAAAAGTCACTGTGATGTTTAACTTTTCCTATTAAAAGTCATACCCCCGAAAGGGACGGAAGGAGGGAGAGGGCGGAGAAAGGAAAGGAGGCTGGGCTAAGGCAGAAGAGAAAGGAAAGGCCGGAAAGGGACCCAAACATGGGGGCAGCTGCTGGGAAAGCTTTTCAACCGAAACCAAGAAAAGAGGAACTCCCACCCCACAGTATTCTAGTTTTTATCTGGGCCTGTTGCTAAATAAAGCAAAAAAAAAAAAAAAAAGTTTTTCTTTCATTTTTATTTAACTACTTTAAAAAGGATGAAAGAAAGAGAAAGGGCTGCCTGAGTTGATCCCGGGAGCCTGTCCTCATGAAACTTGGATTTGGAAACTTTAAGGCAGAAGTGTGGGTGCTCCCCCAGCCCCACAACAATGCTAACAGACACACCCCGTGCTGGCCCGGGCCCAATGCTCTCTCCGTAGATTATTCCGTGTTACCCTTGTGTCCATCCTCCAAGGGAGGTTATGTTGGTTTCCCCGTTTTATACGGAAGCCAAGGCTCAGAGAGGCTTAACCACCTGCTCGAAGTCACACAGCTGATGGGAGCAGGATTCAAACTCAGGCCGCCTGGCGTTAAAGCCCGCTGCGTTCCTCCCTGATCAATCCATTCCCTCACCGCTCACCTAGTTTCCAGCTGTAGCTCTGATTGGATGAGAGACAGATGGAGGGGAGGAGTGTAGGGGTCCCACCCTTGAGGTACCCCACCGCAGGGGAGAGACAAAGGCCGCCGCCACCACCCTGACACAGGCAGGCAGAGCAGGAGGGCGCCCCTTACCTTGATGATCTCCTGAGCGATCTGCCGCGTCTTGTTGATGTCCAGCGATGTCTTGGGGTCCCTCACAAACGAGTGTAACGTCCGCCCCTTGCAGAAGCTGTTGAGAGCGGAGGGTCAGGCAGAGGTCTGGGGCCAGTGCAGCCTGACCCCAACCCTGTGGTGCCTGGGGGGGGCCGTGGGGAGAGCTGTGCTCTCTCCAACCCCTGCACCAGAATCCTCATTTTTTTTTTTTTTTTAAATATTGCATGGTGTGTGTGTGTTTTTTTTAATATATTTTATTGATTTTTTACAGAGAGGAAGGGAGAGAGATAGAGAGTTAGAAACATCGATCAGCTGCCTCCTGCACATCTCCTACTGGGGATGTGCCCGCAACCCAGGCACATGCCCCTGACCGGAATCGAACCCGGGACCCTTCAGTCCACAGGCCGAAGCTCTATCCACTGAGCCAAACCGGTTTCGGCCAGAATCCTCATTCTTAACCAAGCCTGCCTCCCATTCCTCTGGGCCTCCCTGAATGTACAAACACAAACTCGCATGCACCCCACTTGTGGCCCAGGGCAACGTCGGGCCCTGGGGCTCCCTCTAATGATTCTCATGATTGTTTCTATTGTTTTCTGATCACAGAGATTTTATTTCAATAAAGGAAAGTGGGAGGAGGGTGGAGGGGTGTCAGCATGGTTATTGGATAAGGGCCTGCATTTTGGGGTCCCCCCTACCTTGTCCCCTAAAACGTGAGGTGAGGAAGGACCCAGAGAGAACATGCACCCACCCTCCTGTTCCAGGAGAAGGTGACTTACGCCACCTGAGGAAGGGGCTAGTTGTTGGAGATAAGATGCTGGAGCCTCAGAAACTTTGAGAGCAGATGAGGGGTCCAGAATATTGGCTGGTAGTTCCTTACCTGTGCCCCAGTGCCTTCAGGATATTCTACTAGTAAAGCACGCTAAACTTCTGTCAACGAATGCCCTGCTGCATTATTATAGGTATTCCTTCTAAGCCAGTGGTTCTCAACCTTCTGGCCCTTTCAATACAGGTCCTCATGTTGTGACCCAACCATAACATTATTTTTGTTGCTACTTCATAACTGTCATGTTGCTACTGTTATGAATCGTAATGTATGCAGGATGGTCTTAGGCGACCCCCGTGAAAGGGTTGTTCCACCGCCAAAGGGGTCGCGACCCACAGGTTGAGAACCGCTCAGATCTTTTCTGGGACTGGGTGGGTAAGAGGTGGAAGGAGGGAAGGACGGACGGACAGCGCTGGGGGCTGGGGTGTTGGGGGTGTGGAGCTGGCGTCACCACCGTAAGGCTGCCTAAGGAACCACGCTGTCGTGCTCTGGGCTGGCATTTTGTCCCCGGGTGTGGTGGCAGGGGACCTCGCACTGCTCAGGAGTTCTGGTGGGTGGTGACTTATGCCTGTTTCTGATAAACAAGCAAAAGGGGGGTGTACCCATGTCCAATCACTATGCTGTACACCTGCAACTAATATAATATTGCATGTCAACTATAACTGAAAAATAAATTTAACTAAAACCAAAAATCTTCCACACTCTCCAGGGCATCCATGTAAGTATCAGGGCCCCCAGGGAGGTGAGGCTGAGGCGGCCACCCCAGAGAGGGCCGGGGCGGGGTTACCTGGTGATGATGGCCAGGTGGGGCGGGTTCATGCAGGCCCCCATGAAGAGCACCACGTTCTCGTGCCGCGTCTGCCGGTAGTTCATCACCTCTTTCTTGAACAGCTTCAGGTGGTCCTGGTTGTGGCCGTCCATCTCCAGCAGGCGGATGGCCACCTCGCCGTGCCAGCGGCCACGGTGCACGCGGCCCCAGCGGCCCTGCCCGATGGGCTCGCCCAGCTCCACCTGCTCGAAGGGGATGTCCCACTCCTGCAGGTACACGCTGGTCTGGCTGGCCTTGCGGGAGATGGGGCCCCGCCAGGTGCGGCGGGAGCTCGGCAGGTCGTCCACCTCGTCCTCGTCGTCTTCTGCCTCTGACTTGCCAGCCTCCGGCTCCTCGGCCTGGAAGGACAGGAGGAAGGAGCTGAGGGGCAGCAGATCTGGGCTCCGCTGACTCCCCCTCCCCAGAGCCCCAATCAGGTGAGGGAGGAGGACGGGCACAGGGTCGGGAGGCCCGGGTCCCGGTGCCAGGCCTGCACTGGCTTGTGTGGACAATAGGCATGTCACTTGGCACCTCAGTGTCCTCATCCGAGAAATACAGGCCTTGGCGGGGGAGGGGGGCACGGGGGGAGGCCTCACACGCCAAGAGCTCCCTGTGAGTGACATCTGATCACTGGGGAAGCGCCGACATCCCCGGCATGAAGAATTTAACCGCATTCATGCTTCCTGGGTGTTCCTTTGTTTAAGCACAAATTTCTGACTCTTCCCTGGGCAGGAGTTAGTTAACATTCTGCTCCCTTTGCAGGGAGCCAGGCTCGGCTGACACTGTGGTTCAAGGGTCAAGTGGTGTTGGCCTTGGCTACAATCAGAATCAGCTGGGGAGCTTTGGTAACAGATGTCTGGCCCCACCCTAGACGGACTGAAGCAGAGTCTCCCGGGCTGGGCCCGGGCCTCCAGGCCGGGGGTGGGAATCATGGGCATTAAGAGCTGACTTTAGCCTCCAAAACAGAAAAGCAAAAGGAAGCTTGCTTCCTCATCCTTCTTCCCTGCTGAGCACATCTGGCCACATCTGCCGCAGCAGGCACCTGAGGGGGCCTTGCAGGGCCCGGCGCCTAACCCGCTCTGCATGCTGAGCTGGAGGGGAAAAGGGAAGGGAGAGAGAAGGCGCTGTCTAGGCTCACCTCTACTTCATGATCCTCCAACACGTCTGCCTTCGGCTGGTCGTCGAGCCTACGAGTAAAACTGGGTTTGTCAAGGAGACCCCGAGGGTGGGCCACTCCGCTCTCAGCTGGGCCGGGGACTCCCCTGTGAGGTCTGAGAAGAGGCCACCAGGCCTGGATCCTGACTTTGACCCTCACCTATGGGAAAGGCGGTCTGGATGCTGTGGAAACAGTCAGGAGGCCGAGGACCAGGCCCCATTCCCTTCTCCAGCCTCGGCCTTCTCCAGACTAACCTGAGGGTGGCGGGGTTGAGGCGGGGGATGGCAGGGACCACCAAGGCCCTTTCAACCTGACAGCCAGTATGGAGGTTCCAACACAAGCACAGAACTTGAGATTCTACTTGAGAATTGGTTCTGGTACGTCCCGGCTGTGTGACTTTATGCAGTTTCTTAACCTCTCTGAGCTGGCGATCCCATCTGTACACTGAGGATGTACCTACTTGGGAACCTGAGTCAGGTGCTCAGCGTGGCCTGACACTGAGCTAGGGCTGCATGAGCAGGAGCTATTTCTAGTAGTTTCTATAACTCTGAGTACCCTTTGCCCCCTCCTCCTGGGTCAGGTTTACCGCCCCACCCAATGTTGACTGCACCGATAAGGGGCTAATAAAACCCTCTGGCTGAGCTCAGGGGCCTAGAGGGTGCCTTAGCCCAAGCCGTTTGCCATCTGGCTGGCCCAGGTGCAGGGCCTTATGCAAAGTGGGAGGTCAGAGGTTCACAGGGTGGGGGGAGACGGTCAGAGATGTGGATCCAGCTGCCACAAGTCCCCATGGAGGAGAGAGGGGACACAGCACGGAATGCCTACCGGGTACTGTCCGCTGCATCGGGGAACGGGGCTGCCGGTGGAAACGCGGAAATGTCTGGAGGAAACAAAAAGCAAATACGAAGCGTGAGACCGCCTTCCCACCACCATGAAAGACACAGCGCTTACACGCAGGGAAGTGGGCTCTCCCCCAGCCGCCCCTCACAGGGCTATACACGTGTTTCCAGCCCTTCCCACGGGGCCACCTTGTGGTTTTCCTGAAATGGAACCTGAACGCAGCCTCTACAGCACTTGGTTTGTCCCAGAGGGGCCCCAGGTGGGCGAGGAGGATGAAGTCTCAGTGAACGCCATTCCCCTGTGGTCAAACCGCCTCATACCAGCAAGTGGTGGAAGCAACCTGGGCTACTGTTTACTGGACGTGGGCCAGGCCCTCCTGCTCTGCTTGGAGGCCGGGGCTGGTGGCCAGCGGAGGCGGAAGGAGGACGCACAGGTGGCTCGTGAGGGACACCTGGTGCCTGGCACCGGGGCTGGAAATTTCTGGCGGGAGCTGGAGCCCCGCCCCCTCGGCCTCCAGGTTTGGTCCGCTAGCAGACAGCTCGCAGGGGAGGGGAAGAAACACACAGCCCACAGGCCAGGTGGGGCCGCCCCCTGAGTCTGGGGCTTTCCCAGTTTTGGCACGGAAGCTGCACAGGGACACCTGAGAGATGGTCACCCAGGGCGGAACCAGTGTGTTACATAAGGCCAAGGCTCCATAGCTGCTCCTGCTGCTGCCTGCCTCCTTCTGTTCTCACCAATGCACACCGGGAGACTGGCAGCCCCGGGGCTGGCTGGCCCCTCGCTCCCTCCTCTTTTATCAGCAAAAGGGGATAGACTGGAGTTAGTGGCAGCTTAGGCTAATCGCGCCTCTCCCTGTCTGCTAGGACAAAGAGCTCCCCATCAGCCATCAAACTTCCCTCGACCTCACGCCAGGGCTTTCTCCTAGGCCAGTGGTCGGCAAACTGCGGCTCGCGAGCCACATGCGGCTCTTTGGACCCTTGAGTGTGGCTCTCCCACAAAATACCACGTGCGGGTGCGCACGTACAGTGCAGTTGAAACTTCGTGGCCCATGCGCAGAAGTCGGTATTTTGTGGAAGAGCCACACTCAAGGGGCCAAAGAGCCGCATGTGGCTCGCAAGCCACAGTTTGCCGACCACTGTCCTAGGCCACCCGGAAGGCCCTCTGAACCACAGGTTCTCAGCCTCTCTGGAAGCTCGCAGATGTAAAGAATCTGATAGCAGCCGCGGGCCTTCTTATCAAGGAAACGCACGCGTGTGCCCAACGTCCAGTGCACGGTCTCTGGGAGATCCCAGGCCCGGGCAGCTGCTGCTAAGGCCTCCTCCAAGCGCCGCTGTATCGTGTCCGTAGGCTGCCAGGGAGGCCTGACACTTCTCCCATCCAACACCGCTCAAATGCTCCCACGGAAGAAAAACGTGTGTGGTGTGGGGGCTTCAGGGAGAAGCAGCACTCCGGTGGGAGGGCAAAACGTCTCTGAAGCCTCATACTTTGCCTTAAACTTTGCATTCTGCTCCAAAATGTGTCCATGTTTGTTTTAATAGAAATAGTTTCCTTCCCTTCCACAGCACATCTGCAGAGCAAAATGTATCTTCTGGAAGTAGAGGCATGTTTTCCCAGTGCTTTCAGGCACTGCCCTGTACGCCATCCTAGAGCCAGCAGGCTCCTGAGGGAAACCACAGCAACAACTGGTATGAAACCACAGAGGCAGCTCGGGGAGCCTGCCGCTGACCCAGCCAGCCTGCGCGCCTGTAGGACCCTATGGATGATCCTCTAGAACTGACAAATGCTCCAAGCCACTCCCCTAATAGAAGAGCCTGGAATAACCAAACTGCCATGACTTCAGCACAGACCCTTTTAAACTAGGAAAAAAACAATTAGCTACAGTCTTTGTCTAAAACTTCACCTTCACATGGCTAAATTAAGATTTAAAGTGGCAGATTACTTATAATGGTGCTTGTCAGCTTCAGCTAGAGAAATAAGGACTGACCGGATAAATGCCTTAGGGGCAGGAGTATGGTCAAATGCAAAGACTGGCACACAATAGGTGCGCAAAACAATTTTGTGGAAGGGAATCAATAAATGATTGTCTTATTGAAAGTTTTCTTTCATTGAGGAGGCTTTTCCAATAAGTGGCCAGCAGATGGCGCCATGCGACAAGGCTCTGCAAGGTGAAGCCCACTGAGTAAGAGAAGCCTGTGGACCTTCCCAAATTGGCTTTGGCTTCTGTGAGATAAGCAGTTTCCTGGTCAGTGTGCGGAGGAGCATACCATGACAGAGGTGCAGAAGGCATAAAAAAAAGTCCCCTCCCCCCCCATTATGCAAAAGGAGTTCCTGCCACCTCCTGGCATGTGACCCTGGACAAGTTGCCTGTAGTTTCTGTCCAAGGGGCTGGACAGGATGGATGCCACGGTCCCTGCCAGCAAGGCACTGCCCCTGTGAAGGCTACTACTCACCCTGCCCCCCTTTCCAGCCTCAACAGCCAGGCAGCTCTCAAAACAGACGGGTCTGAGACTCAAGCACCTCCAAGGTGCCGAGGGCGAGGCGCCCAGGTGGGCCGGGCAGAGGGGTCACAGCAGAGGACAGTTAGTGGGACCATGCAGAGGACTCACCTGGAAAGATAAACTGCTGTCTATGATGAATGAAGTAGGCAGCTTTAAACAGAAGAGGAGGTGAGTCACACACAGAACAGCAAATGAAGCGAAGGGGAGGGGGCACAGGTGTGGGCTTGGAGGGCAGGCTGGTTATCGGGCTGGGGCAGGCATGCCCCCGGTGGGCCTGGCCAGGACAGGGTGATCCATGCAGGAAGGAGGAAAGAAGCTGGGAGAGAGCGGGTGTTGGCAGGAGCCCCAGGAGTGAAGGGGCTTGCCCTGAGGACGGGGGTTCAGCGACCTAGCCTCCACGGCCACCCTGCTGCAGAGCCCTGGCTCATTTCGTTCCCCTCTCAGGCCTGCTTCTCTGTGAAACGTGCATGGGCCCAGGAGGGTAAAATCAGCGGGGAGAGTAACGATTCTGAAAACATTTGACGGTGGTGCTGAGGGTTCTGAGACTCGACTGCACCTTCCAGGGAAGAACATCCTCTCTTACGGAAAACTGAAGGGGGCTCGCTGGGGAGCTGAACTCAGACTGCACGCCTCTACCCCCAGCTCTGCCATTTACAAGGCTCTGGGACCTGGGGAAGTTTGTTAGCCGCTCCAGTTGTACTGCACGACGGGGTAGGAATAACCTTTCCCCAGGTTTATCCTTGAAGATAAGCTGACAGGCTCCTGCACGGCAGGGTGGTGGACGGCAGGGGTTTCTCTCCAAGATGAACACCCCCGACCAGCCCGGCCCGGACACTGCGGTGACCAGAGAGCTAACAGGTCCCGGAGAGAGTGAGGGCTCTGTGCAGCGGACAATGTGGGCCCGGCGCGGGGCATCGGGGAAAGCCGAGACGCTGGCTGACGTCACACAAAGCGTTCTCTCTGTGGCTGCTGTTTTTCAAACAGACCCTTTCTTTTAGAAAAATCCAAACCAGGAGGTTTAGCCAAAGGCCCAGTTTCAGAGCATATTAATGACAAAGCAGAATGGGAGAGGAGGTTAATCAAATAGGCCATCGCTCAATGGCGGGGGTGGGGACAGGTAGGGTCATGACGATGCATTCGTGTCAGAAGATACCCAGCCACGTGCGGATTAAGGAGAAGGGACAGCAAAAGAGAAAAAAGATTCCTACAAAGGCAGTCTCTCCCCATCCCCTGAAGAAGTCCCTAGAACCCTGCTGAGATGGCCCCAGAGAGGGTGCCAGGCCTCCTGCTGGCTGTGGGCGGCCCAGCTGGGTCCCTTGGCACAGGGAGAGCTGTACGTCTGTCCTCCTGGGCCTGGAGTGACAGGTGGGACCTGCCTTGGGCTCCACGGGCTGAAGCTGGCAGTGGGCCTGTGGCTCGGCCGGGAGAAAGCTGGAGCATCCCAGCGCCCCTCCTTCCTCCAGGCTGCCAACTGAATACACCGAAGGCCAAGACCTCCTGCTAGGAGCTGCCGGGGAGGCCAAGGCCGGGGCTCAGTCCTCAAATGGACACGTGGGCTCCGCTCCTCTCCCTGGGGAGGCAGCACACCCCAGGCCTGGCCAAGAGGAAGGGGTCCTGTCCCTACAGACCGCACGGCAGCCTGGGCTGTGGTAGAGTCAGCCCGGCTCTGGTCAGGTCGGCCCTGTGGGACTCAGTGTCGTCAACTACACCTGGGGGACAACCTAATTCCAACTCTACGGGGTCTCTAGTTTTATGGAAACGGGAACCAACACTTCTGTTTAGGTAGCTGGTTCAGATCTCAGAGCAGGTAAGTGACAGAGGCCGGATCCCCTCTCCCAGGCCTTCTGGACCCGCCCTGGCTCCCTGGGAGCTCAGAAGCCCTGAGCCAGTGAGCAAGTCCAGTAGAAGCCAGGTATGTGCAGGAGGGTAGCATGGGGGTTCTGTCAAGAACACAGGCTTCATGTCAGACAGACTTGGCTTTGATCTTGCTCTACTGCTTACATACTGTACAACTCAGGGCAAGTCACTTCCTTTCTCTGAACCTCAGTGTTCCCATCTGTAAAATGGGTAAAATAACAGCATCTCCTTCAGGGCTGTTATCAAGTTTAAATACGGTAATGCAATTGAGCTGGGCACAGTGCCTGGCTCCCCGCAAGTGCTCTCAGTGGCTGCAGTGTTTGACCCTGAGCCTGCTGGGGTGTGCTGAGAAGGTGCATGTGACCCCATCCCTAAGAGCCCCCCAAAAGCCCGGCGGTGTGGTACCTGGGAAGTTGAACCTGCTGTCCCGCTGGCTGGGCGAGGGGTTGGGGGGCGTGGTGGCACTGGATGGGTTGGACGATGTTGGGAAGGGAGCCGGCGAGGAGGGCGTGGAGGATGTGGTGGAGGACGGGTTGCTGCTGGAGTCCAGGTGGTTCATGGTTGGAGGGTGCTCCTGCAGGACCAGAGACACAGGAAGTGGGTAGGGACTGTCACTGCCCTGCCCGGCTGCCTCCCGCACCCCTTGCCGGGACCCTCCCTTCCCCGGGTAAAAGCGAAGAGGTCAGCCCAGGGTATCCTGACGTTTTCCGGTCTAATATTTGAAGGAAGGATGGTACACTGACATCTTTACCTCAATGCCAGGCAGAGAGGCAGGAGAGAAGACACAAGCGGGCCCCAGAGACACCAGGTGGAGCAGCCCTCCAGGCAGCATCCTCCGCGTCCCCGTTGTTAACTGGCCCCGCCACCTGCCTCAGTGCCCTCTGCCCAAACCTCCACCCAGGCTGGCCCAAACCAAAGGCCGGACACAGCCAGGGGCAGCCGGTCCCCTGGTCCCTCAGCAGAGAGGCAAGTACATGCTAAGCCCTGGTCTGGGGCTGGGACACAACATACTTGAAACACACAGCCACACCCATAGCCGCCTGGGGGAGGCGACCCACTCCGAGGTCACCAGGATGGGGGTGGCTGCAGAAGCCATCAGCATGGGTGCCTCACAGACACCACGCACCCCTGTGCACGGGGGCCCCAGACAGGCCTGGGGATCATCGTGGGGGACACGGGCCTTCGAGAATCTGTCTAGCTGCAGGGCGTCTGTCTGTGCATTAGGCGAGAAGCCCGGCTACAGGCCATGGAAGAAATGCACTTGCATGGGTTACTTCTGAAGTCCCATTTGCCGGGCTCAGCGGCTGGGCCTGTCTCTCACTCACAGGGGCCCCAGTGCTCAGTTTCCTCGTCTTTAAAATGGAGGTGATGTCAGCATGAGGGTCAAAGGAAACACCACTGGAAAAGTTCCTGACTCACAGGCAGTGAAATAAATATCAGCTCCAAAAGGGCGAGTTGGGGCAGGGCACGGGTTACGGGCATGCAACTATACTAGTAAATGGGAAGTTTGCTACATGGTTAAAGATAGGGCCCCCTCTGGCCCCAGATGTGGGCTGCACTGTCCTGCTGGACCCCGCATCCGGGGGCTTCACAGAGAGGAATCTGGGTGGGGGGCTGTCCTGGCAGAAGCAACAGACCCCCCAGGCCACCGTCCAACGTACCTTCTTTGTCAGTGCCTTGGGGAGGGTTCCGAAATGGGGCTCGGCTGCCCTGTCCACCGGGTTGTTGATGTCCGAAGGGACAGATTCCGTCCTCCGAATCCGAGCTACTGGAGAGGGGAAACCATCAGCAGGGAACAGACTGAGCGAGCGAGCGAGAGAGAGACTCGCCCCAGAGGCAGAGGAGAGGAGAGGAGAGGAGGGGAGAGGAGGGGAGAGGAGGGGAGAGGAAGGGAGGGAGGGGAGTGGAGGGGAGGGGAGGGGAGGGGAGAGGAGGGCGCAGCACTCACTTGGAAGGAAGGATATCCGGCAGGCGGGGGCTTCCTTGGTGCACTTGTTATGACACTTCAACCTGGTGAAGGAGGCGGGGTCAGTGCGTGGACGGCCACACGGCCTCCCTGGGCACGGACGGGGGCGCAGAGGCACTGCCTGGCCTCCCCGTGCACCTCACCCTGGATGCCCCAATTCCCACAAATTCCTCAACAGACATGAGCTCGGAAACGTAGAACTGGTGTGGACAGTCCTGGCGGCTACTCTCTGCTGAGCGTGACCACATTCCTGCTGCTGTCTGTCAGGCCTAGAGCTCGGAAGGTTTGACTATACCCATCTGCACTGTCTCGGTGGGTCCCACATCTGCTTCTCTTTTCCAGAGAATGTCTGCCCCACCAAGGATGCCCCAGGGATGCGGGGCAGCCCCTCCCACCACATTCCAGCATGGACCACGTGGTCGGAGGGTCAGCAGGGCGGCCCGACGTGGAGAGGGCGGGGTCCTGTTCCGGGCCTGCCTGCTGCCCTGCGTCTGGGGGCTCTCACTGACCGTCTGGGGGCTCTCACTGACCGTCTGGGGGCTCTCACTGACCGATGGGCCTGCCAACCTCACCCTGCAGTTGCAGCGCTGGGCTCAGGAGTCGCCCTCCCCACGTGAAAGGCAGCACTTGAAAGGAGCCGAGGCCCCCGATTTAAAGCCAATTGGCTGGGAGCCACCACAGACCTAGTTCTGGCATCTCCTCGGTGGTCAGGAGAGCCGCCCGCCAGGAAAACAGTTGGATTTATCCAACTGACACGGACGAGGCCTGTCACCTACAGGCTCATGGGAACCCACATGCCTTTTTCACTCCGACTGGCTCAGAGTCTTAGAGCCGTCCTGATGGACAGAGACCTGGAATCCTCTTCCTAGATGCATCAATGACAAAAATGGGGCCCAGAAAGGGCAAGCAGCTGGCCCCATGTCACACAGCAATGCAGGGGCAGAGTGGGTGGGAGCAGGGATGCCAGGGGCCACCCTCTGTGGGGTGAGGGAGGCCAGGAAGCAGGGGACAGACCCTGCTCACACCACACTGTTCCCTATCCTTGTCCTTCTCTCCTACCAGGGACCACAATGGTCTGAAAAAAGAAAGTTGGGCTTGTACAGAATCTGCATTCTTTCCTTGTGGAAGTACCACAAGCCATCGCTGTTCTTATCATAGCCTGCCCCCGTTTGCTATCCTTGTGTGCTAAAATGTGAGGCTAATTTCAGAACTCCTCCTTGTCCACCTGGCAAACTTCTGCACATCCTTCAAAGCCCACCTCAAATGGTCCCTTCTCTGGGAGTGCCCTGCTTGATGCTCCCTTCCTCTCCCTGCAGAGGGCTGCTCACTCCTGGGTGTGCTGAATGGGATCATGAATCGTAGGTTGAGGGGAACCCTTTGAACTCTGACTTGACCTAACGTCAGTAATCCAGGCGTGGGACTGTGACTAAACAACAAGTATGAAGCTGGCTCCCCTCTCCCACCCCGGCCACCCTCACCCATCACCTGCAATGCTTGCACTTCACTCCAAACATCATGCTCTTCTGGCACACGTGGCAGACCTGCGACAGCCAGGACTTGGTGGAGAACCTGCAGCGGGTGGACACACAGAAGTGCTCTCAGGGGCCGGGAGAGCAGGGCCTGGATAGACAAGGGTCCCCGAACAGCCCAGGGAAATCAGGAGACTTGGTTCCCACCCAGAGCCCCAGGCACCCTCTCCCTGGGAGTTTGGGACACCCAGGGGCCACTGTCTCCTGCCCACGCCTCCCCCTCTTCCCCCATTCAGACTGTCCAGCCACGAAGTCATCATTGTCAAAACCCCAATGCTGGTGTGGCCATGGGTGCCAGCTCTTTGCCAGGCAACTTGGCAAAAGCAACCCGAAGGATCAGTGTGCAGACCCTCTGAGCCAGCAATCCGTCCGCCTTAGGACCCGATCCAGCAGATACTCCTACTGGTGTCACATGATGGACGGACAAGGCTCCCGCGGCGCATCAGCCCTCCCCAACACACGAGTGCCAGCCCTGGAAGTTGTTGGAGGCCCAGACGCCAGGCCTTGGCCTCAGGGGTGCGGCCCAGAGTCTGGAGCATCAACGAGCCCAACGGGGCGCTGGTGTGTGGACGGTTGTAAGAGCCGCACGATATCAAGTGGGACTCAGAAGAAGCTCTTGGCTCCTCCTCCCCAAGACTGTGACCCTGCTTCTCCTGGGACCTGTGTTTGCCCTCAGCAGACTGGGAAGAGACCCAAGGAGGTGATGGAGACAGAGCAGAGGCAAAGAGCCCTGAGAAACAGGGGTCAGGACAGACCCCCTACGCTGAACTGTGACCCGGCTCGTGCGGGTCCCCATCCAGCTGAGTCCCTGCCGGGCGGGGCCTACCTGTGCGTCACCGAGAGCCCGATGTCCCTCCGTACCATCTGTGGGGAGCCGTGGGGGAGATCTGCAGGGGAAGAGGGAGGTCAGGCGGGCAGAGGAAGCCCTGCAGGGAGGGCCCACGCCCGTGACCTTCTATGTCAGAGATCGCAAGCTAGATGGGCACGGAAACGTATTGAGTGGCAGAGAAACGTCCCTGAACCGGCATCCATCAAAACAGGGACAGGACAGGCTAGCCAGGGGCGGCGTGGTCACCCTCACACATGGCCGGCTTCTCTAACGAACATTACTGCCCGGCCTGTACGGTTCTGGCTTCGGGGGAAGGCGGGCGTGAGAGGCAGAAGGCAGAGTGTGTGAGGGCAGAGGCCTCCACACCCCCACCTCTTGCACTGTCTCATGGATGCACCCCCAGGTCACCAGTTGGCAAGGGCTGCGTTCTGGTCACTTCTTGTTAAGTGGTGGACGCTGCCTGACCCTTGGCAGAGGGCTGGGGGCTGGTGAGCTGTGCAGCAGCACCTCCCTAGTCTTGCTGAGAGCTCCCACGGGGCCTGGCCTCACCTGGTATCAGTCTGGGTCTTTGGGGAAGTCTCAGGCCACGGGCTGCGGGGTGCTCTTTCTGCCTGTCCCCCTAGAGGGCACCTGGGCTCTCCTCCTAAGCCTGGCTTCCCCAGAAGAACAGGCAGCCCCAGTGCCTGAGCATCACAGGCTGGCAGTGGAGGATCAGCTGGAAGCGATCCCCCCGTCCAGGGGCAGCCTACACACACGACAAGCTCCCTCCTCCCCTCCTCCCTCCCTCCCCTCCTCCACACGTGGGCCCCTGCTCCCCACCCCCTCCTTCCCAGCTCCGCAAGGCCTTGCTCCTCCTGGAATAGGTTCTCAACTGAACCCCTGGGTGGGTCTGGGAACCCTCTGGAAAGAGGTTCTAGACCAGCGGTTCTCAACCTGTGGGTCGCGACCCCTTTGGGGGTTGAATGACCCTTTCACAGGGGTCGCCTAAGACCTTGGGAAAACACATAGATAATTACATATTGTTTTTGTGATTAATCACTATGCTTTAATTATGTTCAATTTGTAACAATGAAATTGGGGGTCACCACAACATGAGGAACTGTATTAAAGGGTCGCGGGGTTAGGAAGGTTGAGAACCACTGTCCTAGACTTTCATCCAATGATCAGACACCTGGGACCCAGAAAGGTCAGGAACATGGTGCTTTAAGGATCTGGGGCCATGCCGGGTCCTCCGAGTCAGCAGCCCTGCACCCCCTCACCCCCCCGAAGGCCACTGCACCTCCCGGGTGCCTGAGAGCTGGCCTGGCACACAGCTGGTGCTCATTAAGTATTGGTTCACTTAAGGCCAAGTCCCACAAACCCAACCAGAAAGAGAGGGCATGCTGGAGTGCTGAGTCCTCCCACACAGGGACCGAAGGCCCTGTGCTGCCCCGGTGATGCAGGACCCACGCTGCACCCCTGCAGCTCTCGCCAGCATGTCTGCCACACGCTGACTCTTCCCAACTCCCTCCTGGGGTTCACCCCAGGCAACAGCAGCCATGCCATTAAAGCACATGGTCTAAAAGGGGTTTGGTTGCCCGGCCAGTGTGGTTCAGTGGTTGAGCGTCAACCTATGAACCAGGAGGTCACAGTTCGATTCCCGGTCAAGGCGCATGCCTGGACCGCGGGCTCGATCCCCAGTGTGGGTTGTGTAGGAGGCAGCCAATTAATGATTCTCTCTCATCGTTAACATTTCTATCTCTCTCCCTCTCCCTTCCTCTCTGAAACCCTCTCCCTTCCTCTCTGAAATCAATAAAAATATATTTAATACATAAATAAAATAAAAGGGGTTAGGCTGTCGGCCTAAGAGAAACAGACGGTGGGAAAGCGAGATTTCAATCATCAATCTCTGAGTGAAGACTGTGACTGATTTGCAATGTCTGCCACGGGCAGGGGTTACGGGGAGGAGAGAGGGCACGTGTGCCAGGCATCGCCTGCCCCTCACGAGACGAAATGCCGGCCCTGCAGGCCTCATCCCGCCTTCCCGCAGCTGGAGAAGCGGCCTCACGGGTGCGGACCCTGCATCACACAGCTCCCCGGAGGACACGAGGGCCAGACTGCCCCAGGGCCGCCGGCTCGGTGAGGGCCCCAGGGCCGCCGGCTTGGTGAGGCCCCAAGCTCCCGCCTGTGCCCTGGGGAGGGGAAGCGCAGCCTCCCTGGTGGTCCTGCACCAGCCCAGCTCCATCTCAGCCAAGCCAGTACCCAACATCCCCTCCTCAGCTCTCGCTTAGCCAGCTCAGGGCAGGACAGAGGTAAACTGCTACTTGGCTCCGGGGAGAGGATCTGCGTCCACTGGGACAACGACAAGCAGCTCCAGGGGCTCGCTGTTTCCCGCTGTGCTCACTCAGAAGGCCCACAGCGGAGCCCCGTGCAAGAGCCTGCTCCCACCTGGAGGCGGAGGGAGGGGCGGAGATCAGGCTGCCCGGGCTTCCTCCTCGCCTCCTGAGGGCAAACCTCAGGGCTTCACTCACAGGCGAGCCCCGCCTTCCTGCCCCAAGGATGTCCCTGTCCCGCAGAGCCGGGCCCTGAGATGTCAGCTGGGGTCGGCGGGTGGCTGCTGTCCGCCTACGCCAGACAGGTAGTACCTTCCTCCCAGGAGGGCGGGGTTCCGGCCGCAGCCCAGCAGGTGAACACTCCCTGCCCGAGGTCACCTTTGGGGAGGGCCTGCCATGGGGACTGCCCACCGGCTGTGAGTGACACAGAGAGGCTGCTGGCTGGGCTGAGGCCAGCTCGTCCCGTGGGGGCCACCTGTCCTAGCGTGATGTCCTGAGGCAGTTCCCAGCTCCTCTGCTTCTGGACCACGGAAGGGCCAGGTGCACTAAGAGAGGGTCAGAGGCATCCACCCCGATGGGGACAGCGAGCCGGTGGCAGAGGGAGGGGACGAAAATGAATCACTCTTACCAAACCTGGAGGAGACAGAAAAGAGAGAGAGAAAGCAGGATTAGGGCACCGTGCTGGCTCCACATGTCCCCCAGAACATCATCCCGGGGAGGGAGGGGCAAGGCGCTGGATGAGGACTTTGAGCACCTAGGGTGTGGGGCTAGGACGGCTGGGGAATGTGGGGACTTGCCCCAATGGGAAGGACTAGAGGTGCCCTCCTGGGCCCCCCATGGGCACAAAGCTACATCTGTGCACTCTCATACATCAGCTTCTCTGAGCCTCGCCGCCACCAGCACGGTAATTAGAGTTCCCCAGGCAGGAGGGCAGGGAGAACAGTGTGGAGCACAAAGCTGACCTCCAAGCAGGGCCGGGTGGGGACATGCCCTGAGCAATGCTGTCAGAGGGCTAGAGAGAGCTAGGGAAACCAGGCCGCTCAGCCTGCCCTCGGGGCTCCCTGAGGGCAGCGGGTGGCCTGAGTGGCCTGATGTCCGTACCAGCGCCAGTTCTGCTGGCTCTGTGGAGAAGAGACTCAGACCCAGGGTTCGAGGCCAGCTCACCGGTGGGACCTGAGGCAGAGGTGGCACCTGCCCGAGGCTGTTCTCCGCCTGGAGCCAGGATGAGACCAGAGCCCTCCTAATGCTCTTGGTGGGGAAAATGAGCAGCAGACACCCTGGGTTTTGCCCACTGCGATGCCCTGCTTCACCCTGCCCACAAGGGTATGTTGACAAAGGCAATTTTTGTAATAACAAACAACAAAAATGACAAGGAACTCAATGTCCACCAAGAGGGGAGGAGTTAAACTATACAATGACATAAAAATGAGAAAAAGGTGAGAGGCATTTGGATAAATACAAATATATACAGAACCAATAACCTGGTTGCTCCTGAAAGGGGAACTGGGTGACAAAGGACATGGTAGGGGGTCACTTTATACTATACATCCCTAAAAAGATGAATAAACTAAATGAGCTACGAAGCTTTTGCATTTTGGACCATGTGACTGTTATTACCTATTTAAAATATGGGTTAAAAAATATTAAAAAAGTAAAAGAATACTGGCATGAAGTTCTCAAGATATCAAGGTAAGCTGAAAAAGTAGGTTATAGGACAGAGTGCATGGTTTTTTATCGTCCTTAGAGCTTTCAGCCAGATATTCCATTCTCTTCTGGGCACGTGGGAGTTTCATTTCCTGGCTCCTTTGTTTGGGTAGGATCATGAGAGGTGAGTGGAACTTTCAGGAAAGAGCGTGTAATTGCTTTCTTCCTCTACCGCAGTGGAACATTCAGCCGGGGGCATGGAATGGGCCGACCCATGATGGACAGGTAGCGTGAGCAAGAAATAAATCTTTGTTTGAAGACCCAGGGACCTGGGGGTTATTTGTCACTGCAGCATAATCCAGTCTATCCTGACTGATACATGGCATTCTTTCATTTGTGTGTGTGTGTGTGTGTGCACACTTGCAAGGAAATCTAGTAAGATTCAGCCCAAGCTGTTCAGGTAGCCTGGGGAGTAGACTGAGAGACAGGGGTACCTTTCACTGTACATACTTATATATTAGTTGATGTTATGCCCTTTTCCAATGGAGTCTATATTACCTTTAGAATGAGAAAACTTTAGTCAAAACTTTCAGCGGATTGCAAAGTCAACAACTGTCTGGCCGGAGTCCTTACCTCGTCAAGTAAGTACTTGGGGAGACCTCGTCAATGCGGTTCCCCAGCTGAGACTCATGGGACTTGCTCCGGGTGAGCGTGGGGAAGCTGGGCAGCAGCTGGAAGACCTTGCGGCTGGGAGGGGGTGGCGTCCTTGGCGGCTTCAGCTTGGTGTGCCGTCGCAGCTGGGGCGTGGTTGGGGGGGTGATGAAGCTGTGCAGGGCACGGGGGGTCAGCCGGCCACTGGCGTGCAGGGGGATGCAGGTGTCCGTGAGGCCCTCGCTGGGGCCAGGCGTGGGAAAGTCCGAGGTGGGCAGAGCTGACACGGAGACGGAGCGGGGACCCTGGGCATTGCTGCCCATCCTGCCCAGCTGGGCGCTCCCTGGGGGCCAGGGCAGGCTGGCTGGTGAGAGGGTGTCCGTGGAAGGCCCTGAGCCACTTTCCCGCCGGGCATCCAACGAACTCCAGCCCAAGTCCTCTTTGTGCTCCCTTCCTGTGGGCCGAGAAGTCGAGTCATAGGAGGCTGGGGCTAGAGGAATGTATAGGTGAGGTGGCTAGGGCCCAGAGAGGTTAAACACCCTGCCCAACATGGCACAGCTCCTTTTATTAAAAAAAATTTTTTTAAATATATTTTTATTGATTTCAGAGAGGAATAGAGAGGGAGAGAGAGATAGAAACATCAATGATGAGAGAGAATCATTGATCGGCTGCTTCTTGCACGCGCCCCCCCCCCCCCCCCCCCGGGATGGAGCCCACAACCCGGGCATGTACCCTGACCAGGAATCGAACCGTGACCCCCTGGTTCATAGGTCGATGCTCAAACCACTGGGCCATGCTGGCAGGGCTGCACAGCTCCTTAATGGAAGGCTTCCAGGACCAGCCTTCCCCTGGTTTGTAGAGGCCTCTCATGGACAGGCATCTTTTTCTTCCTTTTCTAACGGACCGTGAGGCCCCCGCCATGGACATTACTGTCCTTGTTTTACAGAGAGAATATGAGGCCCAGAGGGGACTAGCTCGTGCGGGGCTCCTGCTGGCAGGTCTGTGGGGAACAAGCCAGCAAACCAGCTCCAAAGTGGGCGGCTTCAGAGAGGGAAGTGGCGACTGATCTTTGAAGAGTTAGGGAAGAGAAGCTGGGGCATGTAGAGAGATAATTCCACTTTAAGAAAATGCAAATGTCAGAAAAAGGGGCTGTACCAACCCGTGAACAGCAAATTGCCCTGGAAATTTGCTAGAAAAGAGATCCAGCTAGAATGGGATCAACAGCCGCTGGCTTATGAGAGAAGCCTGTGAATGACCTTGGGCTGCCCCCACAGTGACCTCTGCCTGAGGCCACTGAGACCTCGAGGCTCTGCGGGGCTCCAACTCAATGGCACAGTCTGTCCATTCATTCAAGCACATGCTGGACGCCGGGTATGAAGGCATAAAAAAGACATCTGCTGAGCCTGGAGAGTCCAAGGAGGGTGACAGACACTCAACACAATGGTTGTGTGCTGACCAGGAGAGGGATGGGGACCCAGGGAGCACAGAGGAGGAAGACTCTGAATGGCCTGGGGGTTGGGGGCTTCCCAGAAGAGGGGGCACCTGGGCTGAGCCAATGAGGGAAGCGGTGGATGCAGAGGGAACAGCACATGCAAAAGTAAGGCGCACACAGCACCTTCTGGTCACTACTAAGAGTTCCACGTGCCTTGAGAGGTCAGGACAAGCCAGGGAGACGTAAGAGATGAAGCGGAGGGTCAGTGCACCTGGGACCAGCTCAGGGGGGACCCTGGATGACCTGCTGGGGATTTTAGATTTAACCTTATAGGAGATGCGCAGATACTGAAGGGGTGGGGGCAGGGAGCAAGGACCCCATCTAGACACCCTGTTGTGGGGAAGGAGAAGATACCTCCCTCCTCCTATTTATCAATGAGTAGAATGTACCAGAAGGTAGATTGTGACTCCAGACAAAATGAACTTCTACCCTGGAACCCTTCTACTTTGTGCTTTGTCCCAGCTCCCCCGATCCTCTCAGCACGTGAGGTCGCTGAGATGCAGGGAGGCCACGTGCAATGCTAAGGTCGGACAGCTAAGCAAGTGATGGGATGGGAACGGAGCCCCATGTCCCGACCACAGCACTGGCCTCCTCCCACAAGGGTATCAGTCCTGAATAACCTGCAATGGCTCCACCGTGGCAGGCAATGAGCCCTCTGTCATCAGAGGCAGGCAAGCCTAGCCCACACAGCCATTTATCAGGTACGGTGGAGAGAGATTAGCCTTTACGGTTCTTGGGGTTTCTTGTGCATTCCCCCCCCCCCTCCTCAAATGCCCTTCCTCCTACTCCACTGCATGGTGCCTCTCTTCACGAGTCAACTTGGCAGAATGAGTCCCTTGGTCTGAGGGTTCCTTGTGCCCCTTCGGAACTGCAGCCACTACTTACACTTTAACTTCTACACTAATCTATAGGCAGCACGGACATGTTTCTTGGTCAGAGGACGAATCCATGGGTAAGTCTGCCACCAAAGAAACAAGCCCCAAATTCTCCAAACTGACTGCTGGGCTCTGCACCAGCTCGGAGAGGACAGGGGGTCTTGCTTTGTGTGCCACCACCCGGCCATCGGCCGTGGCTCTTGGAATGACCCTAGAGTCACTTAGCAGCAAGAGCCTGGGGACTGACTGGTGCTGTGCTATGGAGTAGAGCAGGCACCACATTCCTGTTTACAGGCCACTGGCACAGAGAACCCTCCTCACTCACCTTTCTTAACACCAGAGACCACAGGGAAATGACTTGGACATTTCCCATCAGACAACAGCCTAATACTGAAAAGAGCACCGAGTGTGTCGCAGGCTCTGTTCTAAGTGCTTGACTGTAACTCATCTCATCCTCACAACAACCCTATGAGAGAGGTGTTGTTATTGCCTCCATTTTACAGATGAGGAAACTGCGCACAGTGGGGCTGAATAACTGACCCAGCTCCTATGGCAGTGATGGCGAACCTTTTGAGCTCGGCGTGTCAGCGTTTTGAAACACCCTAACTTAACTCTGGTGCCGTGTCACATATTGAAATGTTTTGATATTTGCAACCATAGTAAAACAAAGACTTATATTTTTGATATTTATTTTATATATTTAAATGCCACTTAACAAAGAAAAATCAACCAAAAACCTGTCACCTCTGACACGTGTGTCATAGATTCGCCATCACTGTCCTGTGGGATGTAAGTGGCTGAGCTAGGCTGCAAGGAGGCTGCTCTCACCAAGCCCGCTGGGTGCAACGAAGACTCTTCCTGCATGATCCGAGAGGCAGGGTGACCATGGGTACCCACCCCATCCGGCAGATACGCTTGAGGTATGGCCACCACAGGGCAGACCCATTTGGATGGGGTGCAACCAGGACCCCTTCAGGGATGTAGAGGCACCACAAGCTGAGATTGAAGGAGAGAGGACCGTTAAAGACGCTCGCCCGAGGGGCCTCTCCCAGGGCATTGTGGGAAAAGCACCCTGAGGTTGAAGAGGCCTGAGTCCCAAGCGCAGCTCTGCTATGCGCCAGGTGTGGAACGCAGACAGCTCGCCCAGCGCGTCCGATGCTCCAGCTGCTAGAGGAGCTTACTGCCACCGCTCAAAAGGGTGTTGCCACATACGTGTCAAGTGCCTGGCTTAATAAATTAGTGCTTAATAAGTTAGCGATCTCCCTATCTTGGCATCCGCAGCCTTCCCAACACACACAGGTCACCGCAACTTGACAGCTGGCTTCTCCGCAGTTCTTTACAGTTCAGGCCCACAGAGGGAGGGCTGACAAGTCACCCCAAGATTCCAGCTTAGGTGGCAAGTACTTTCAAATTTCCACAATGTGGGAACCAACCAACCACCACCAAAGACTGAGGCTGAGATCCCCTCTCTGACTCCACGTGCTGTGTGTCCTTGGACTCCCCTTTCTGGGCTCAGTCTCCTCCTCGACCGTGTCTGTCATTTCATTCTCTGCACCTGCCAGGAGGCCTGGAGCATCGAGGTTTTCTGAATCGAGTAAGCTCTCTGCAGAGGCTCTGTGTTCAGAGGTGGGCTTGGTGTCATGGGGCCGGGGAAGAAATGAAGCCCAGTCTCCTCTGATAAAACAATCAAGCAGAATATAAATCTCAGTGCTTCCCTTAAGCCTCAGGCAGCCAGAAATACGACAGGTGGCTCAGATAATTAAAAAACACACCTAATTCCACTCATTAGGCTCATTTCAAAGCCTTATCTGTGTGGTCGGTAGTGGGAGCATTAACAGTCAGGGTGTCTGAAGTTGTCTCCAAGGCAAGAATTAGAAAGCCAGCAAATGATCCCCGGGAATGCAGCTAATGCCAGGATTACACGCTTCGCCAGGGGCAGCCATGCACACGCCCAGGGCTGACACACTGAATAATATCTCCAATCCCACTTGGCTCAGGCTGAGCCCACCTCGGTGTGTGCCTTCTGAGCGCACGGCCCAGCCAGCCAGTGAGGACAGGGGACCAGAGACGTGGGGAGAGGGCTGGGGGGCACTGGGGTGGGGAGGGGGCTGGAACGCAGGAAGGTGCTGGCGGGATCACAGAGCCCAACAAGTGTTCTCCGAAGAGGGGAAAGCATACAGGGCCCGCCCAGCAGGCCAGCCTGGGGTTTCTAACAAAGGCTAGAGCTTCCCGTGTTAGCACTGGCCAGGTCTGAGCCTCTGACCTGGGGAGAGCCTCTGTCCCAGGTCAGGTCCATCACACACTTTCTGAATGTCTGCCTTGGCCTTTCCAAGCGACCCCAGGACCCCTGGGCCACACCTGCTCCACCCATCATCCACTCAGCAATGGCCATGGCCCCCAGGGAACCAGGCTAGGCCTGGGGAGAACAGGCGGGTGTCTAAGCCAAGGTGGAGGGAGAGGGAGCCCCTGGGGCTGGCCTTGGCGCTGGGGAGGCAGGCCCTACCTACCCAGGCCTGTCACCTTCCGCAGGCAGGTGAGGGCGTACTGCAGGCGGCCGCACTCCTCCGCACTGGCCCCACAGCGCCGCAGCGTCTCCTTCACCTTGGCCTCATTCATGTCCAGCAGGGCATCCAGTGTGAGCTCTCGGAGGATCTCCTGAGGAAGCACAGAAGGGACAGCAGAGAGCCGGTGAGCACGCCGGGGGTCTGGTCTTCACTCTCCCCCTGGCCAGCGCCGGCCTCCCCGCTGAGTGGCAGGGGCCAGCTGCTGGTGGGCAGGCCTCCAACACGAGGCCGCCACTTGTCTGAGGTCTCAGGCAGCCAGCCCTCACCCCAGCCCCACCCTCCCAGAGACGGCAGCTGAAGTGGAGAGGCCTCAGCTTCGGGGTGGGGGTGGGAGGGAAGGAAGGAAGGGGAAAATCTGAAAAGTTTGGATCAGGGCACATTGCCCCTCTTGTTTCTTTTCATTCCTCTGCCCAGAAAAATGATGAATCACAACAACTTTCTAGAATGACAGTACTTGAGATAAAGACGGCCCTTTACAATTCTGCTGCACTGTGTCTGAATCAGACAAGATTTCACATAAAACTGGCGTGGTGATAGGATTAAAAAGAATTGACCCTCGCCCTGGCCGGGTGGCTCAGTTAATTGGAGCATCGTCCCATACACTAAAAGGTTGCAGGTTCAATCCTTGGTGGGGGCGGGTACTGGAGGCAATGTTTCTCTCTCACATCCATGTTGCTCTAGCTCTCGCTCTCGAAAATAAATAAAAACATATCCTCAGTTGAGGATTTAAAAAAAAAAAATTAACCCTCAACAGGCATACAGGCCCTCACTACCTCCCTTTAGTTAATTCTCAGTCAAAACCTTCCAAAGGTTAAGGTAGCGGAGAGGGAGTGAGAGACTGAAGTGTGAAAAGGACGCCAGGTGGACTTGGAAGATGGAGGGGCCACATGAGAAGGAATGTGGATGGCCTCTAGGGGAGCGTGTCCCCCAATGGCCAGCAAGGAAAGGGGCACCTCACACCTATCTGGCCACCAGGAACTGGATTCTGCCAACCACCTGAATGCCCTTGGACGTGGCTTCTTCCCAAAGCTTCCAGGTAAGAGGCCAGCCTGGCTGGTGCCTGGGCTTAAGCGCGGTGAGATGCTAAGCAGGGAGCTAGCAGAGCCCACCTGGACTCCTCCAGCCAGTCCCCCCCTACAGAACTGTAAGCTGATCAATGGGGCTTGCAAGCCACTGGGTTTGTGGTGATTTGTGACTCAGCAGCAGAAAACTCCTACAAAGAGGGATGATCTGAATCGAGGCCTAACTGACTTCAAAGCTGTGCTCTTTCCCCTCATCAAGGGGAAGAAACCCCTCTGGTTCTGGTCACTTTGAGTCACAGGTGACACCAAGCCTGGAGCAGACACACAGAACCACGGCACAGGTCCCTGGCCTCGGTGGCGTGTGGGGTGACTGCCATGAAAACGCGTCCTTGCACTGCAATGCGATATGGCCGGGCACAGAGAAAGCTCAGAGTTGCAGGACCAGTGGTAAGATGTTCTGGGTTTTCTTCTTCTTTGGCCCCTTTCTATATTTTCCAGATTTTCTATAACAGAGAACGGCAGACACCCCACATCCAGTGATTCATATGAAGCTCACAATCCTTGAGAATCTAAGCCAGTTTTCATTGATTTTAGCAAGCTGTGTCTAATTTTACTTTAAAAGAGTAATGCTCTCGTCAGACTACCCCAAAGTGTCAAAACTGAACCTGATAAAGATACTGGCTGTGAGTCACTGGGGCAACAGTTTGGGGTTTTATGGTGCCCCGGGCTTCGTATGTGGCCCCTGAAGTCTGGCCATGCTCCCCCCCCCCCCCGTTCCCCTCCCCACCTCTGTCTTGTCTGTATATTCTTCAGTCTCCAGGGTTGTGGACAAGAATCTCGTAGCTGTTTAGGATGATGCACCCCAACAGTTAGAAATAAACACACAAGTAAAAGCACCAAGAAGCTCATCATGGGTTGGACAAACCCGTGGTTGTCAGACATCCTTCTGACGATAAAACCAGAGCGTCACAAGACAGTGATAAGAACAGCACAGAGAGGGAGCTGATTAGATAACAGCCCTGGCAGAAACTTTTGTTCATCGGTGTATTTTCCTTGACTGCCCTCAGTAACGCGCTTTAGCAAATGCAGTTGTGACATCTTTCCCCTCATTTTACTATGAAAAGCAAGTTGGCAGTATTGTCAGGGGACAAACAAATGGCTGGTGACCTTTCCACAAGTGCAGACACCACCCTCCACCTCTCCCTGGAGCGTCCTGTCCTCCCTCTTGGTTCTCACAGAGGCTCCTGCATTTCCCAAGGCGGTGATGACTCAGCAGGTTTCCAAGAGGAGGTTCCTGTATCTGCCTGACTGTGTGTGAGGGAGAGGAGGGGGGCGGGAGGGGACAATGACATGGACACCAACAAGCCCAGAAACCCAAGCCCCAATCTAACTAAAATGCAAAGGACTGGTTTTCTTTCTTTATATTCCTCTCTTCCCCACCCACACCAAGTTTCAGTTTCTCCAACATAATAACTACATTTGTTATTACAAACTATTTGCCAGTACAATAGGCCCAGTACTTCGTATAGTACTATCTCTGTTCAAAACAATTCAGCAAGGAGAGGTATTAAGCCCATTTTACTGAGGCTCAGAGACCTCATGCAAGGCTACTTAGTAAATGACAGGGCCAGAACTGAAACCCAGGGATGCCATCCCCCAAACTCTTTCCATTATTCCAATCCGGGGGTCCCACTTAAACTGGAGTGGCCCCAGCCTCTTCCCGGACGGGCGTCGCTTCCTGGAGTGTGAACTCTGCATCAGTGAAATGAGAGTGCTTAGCACACCACTGTGGCCGTGGTTTCTGACTGCTCCTTCCACTCTCCAATCCCTGGTCTCTCCCCCAGGGCTGAATCGCTGGGCTGGGGAGAGGGACCACCCTTCCTACCTGAAGGCAGTCAGTGAGCTATCCCCCAGTCAGCGGGTTACCTGGCAGCCAGGGTCTCAAACACGCAGCCTCGGGGCCAGGCCTTGGGAAGTGAGATCCGAGGAGATGAGGCCCCTGGATCTGTTTCTTGATGGAGACACATGTCCTAGAAACAAGCCTCTACTGGACAATAAGAAGTCCAGCAGCAGCAAGGGTGATGCTAATCAGAAACCCACCCTCTGCCCTCAGGCAGTGCTGGGGTAAGAGGGGAGGCTATGGGAAGGGCACCAGATATTCTGGTTTTCAAGAAATCTGAGTTTTTACTTTAAAATAAAAATGTTACATGGTGGCAACTAATGCAAACTTGTGCAACCAAACAATGGTCCCACGGCGCCCCCAGACTCCCGCATGGAGACCCTGCATGAAGAATCTGACGCCTTCCGAATGTCTGATCAGCGGATTTCAAAGCTTGATTTCTGCAGGCAAACGGGGAGAACTGGTGGCCCAGCAGCCAAGTGTCCTTGGCAACATACCACTGGGCAGCCAGGCCTTCTCAGTAAGGTACCCACCGTGGCTCTGGCAACCCATCTTAGAAACCAAGTGCCCAGCCTTCCAAAGCCTCTGAGTGACTTTGGACCAGAGTTATTTCAATCCAGAGGGGAGAGCATGAGGCAGGGATGCTGGAACCAGGGGCCCGCAAGCTAAACAACAGCCAGGCTGGGCCATGGCCGTGCAGGCCCTGGAGTGGCCCGGCCAGCTCCCTCTATCCTGACTCAAGCAAAGCCACTCAGCAACTCGGAACCCCCAAACCTCACACACGGATGTGACTTGCCCACCCACAGTGCCCAGTCTGAGTTAGGAAGTTATTTCAGACCAGAGTAACTCACATACAAACTTTCCGGATAATTTCTCAGCCAGAAGCAAATTAGGGGATCAGTTTAACCACCTTCTAAAGGTGAACTCACAGGCCTGCTGACAACCTGGCAGGCAGAGCAGCTCTGAAACCCTCTCAGGTCTCCGAGGCCTCAGGAGAGCCGCACATCTGCCTGCAGGCACAGGGAACATGCCACCTGTCCCACAGCCCAGGGCCCTACCCCCAGTTCTGGGGAAGGGACAAAGGCCAAGAGGCGATTGTTTTGAGGAGAATCACTGCCACCCCACCCCAGCTTCCGTGTAAAGAAGAAAATACAAACTAGAAACCAAAAAGGGAGGGCATGGCTGCCCAGCCCATTCGGGAGTTATCCTCGCTCCTGTGAGCCGGGGTGAGCAGGGAGCACAGAAGCAGGGCAGTGAGGACATGGGTCAGAGCAAGAGTTCGAGGACACTGGCTGCGCCTCTGCCCATCTCCTCCAGACACCACGTACACTCCCCAGTGGGCGGCATTCAGTTATTCTTTCTTATATGCATAATGATTAGAGAGCAGGGTCAGCTGGGCACTGAGGACCCTCCCCACCTGTGATCATTAAACTGCTGGCTCTGCTCTCTATAGAAGGGGGGGGAGGGGGGGCTGGCCCAAACACGGCGGCCCCCTCCCCTCAGCAGCTGGCAGTGGCTGGAGCCAGGCCAGGCGGGTATCAAATGGTATCCCGAGACTTACCAGCAGCCACGGGGCTGCCTGGGTCTATACTTAGAAACCTGACCGGCTTACACAGAGAGCCATCCACGCTCGCCGTGCTCGGTCAGGTGGACAGTGGAAATGCCAGGGCGCTTCCAAGCCTGTGTATGGGCCACATGGTAGCTCAAGCCAGCATCAGGCGGAGGCCGGGTGGAAGGAAGACCAAGAGGCAAACCCAAACTCTGTGCATCTGTTTAGCTTTCTAGTCCTAGAGCACAGGATGGGTCAGTAAAGTCAGGAACTGCCCCCATCAGTGCTGCTGGCAATCAAGGTCCATTTGCAGAACCTGGATTTCTGGGGTGGGGTGGGGTGGGTGGGGTGCGGTGGAGGGGAGGGTGGACAGAGGCCTCTTCTAGCTGCCCTGGCTGGGAGGGGAGGTGGTCATTAAAGGGCCAGGATCCTTCACCACAGATGCTTCCCTGGGAACTGGTCCCAGCAGAGCCCAGAGGTGGACCCCCAGAACCCTGCAGATGGTGACATAGGACCCCTCACACCTACGAGGCCAAGGCCCAAGGGGGGTTGGGAAAGGACAGAGAGAAGAGCAGGGAGATTTCTATGGCATCTCAGGCTGGGAGCCCACATGCCTCCAG